TATGAAGTGTTTTTCGGAGATGTTTGCTTGTGGATCCCGTTGGAGGCGTTCCCTCTAACCCGTTCTCTCTTTTGGTGGTCCTAAGGGACAACGGGAGGCTTCGGGGAGGCTGACCTTTGCGGACGGACGCGCGAGGGTGCCGCACGACTTAGGCAAATCCAGCTAAGTCCGTGTCAGGTCGGGCAGCATAAGGAAAATATGTCAGTGTGTGCATGAAGGTATTAGCATATACATGTACTATACTCAATATGTCTTTAGTCATACTAAAATTAGGTCAATATATAACCATTTATATAAATACACTAAATCTAAATGTTTTGGTCCATCTTGCAAAGGTTAAATGGAGTCAATGAGAGATTAAAATTTTGTTTTTAATATGGATATAGGCAAAAACTTTGGAATCACATAAATCTTGCATTTACTATTTAATGATTTATGTTTAATTATTCTTTTAATTTCGATTTTTTCTCCCAACAAAGTTGTATCAATGAACAAATTACTTTAAATTTACTTGTTATCAAATGATCTAATACTTAAAAAAAAAAAGAATGATTAAAGACTCTGTAAATTAAGATTTTGTGTCAAATGGTGTTACTGATATATTTATGGACCACTGAAGAAAAAATTTTGATGTGGACTTTTTATTGCATTTACTCTATCTTCAGTTTCTGCTCACCTGAGTCTTATGTTTTCTTCTAATTCACAAGACAACCAGAAAAGTCTGTGTTTCACATTCAATTTCAAGATCAAAGAAGAATTTGAGCTCTGGAAGCCACATTGGAGCATGAGATTTTGGATTACAGACAACAAAAGGTACAAAAAATGAAACTTCAAAGTGTTACTGATATTAACAATTGGATACAAGGTTTGAATTTGAGAGGTGGTGACACTTATCATTCATTTTCACAAGTAAACCTTTATGAAAGGGAAATAGAATCTGCACAGTCATACGTAAGACGCTATGTTGGGAGTAGCTTCCAGCATGCGGTCACAGGTTGGTAGCACACACACCAGCCTTAAGTTTCAACATCAACAGTGGCATTGATGGTTGGCTTCTGCATTTCTCCTTGCTTGGATCGGCTCCTGACATCTTCTTCCTTGCCGCTAGCAAACGAGAAGAACTTCTGAAGGCTGAATCCTGATCGAGGCGTTTGGCCGCTGGAAGAGTCATGTTTGTCCACTGGAGCATGCTTGATATACTGGCGTAACACGAGAATCAAGTATATGAGGAGAGCCAAGAAGCATGACGTTCCACATATGAGAAACAATCCCCAGAAGCTGCTAAGTTGAAGCCTTTGAGAGTCAATTTCATCAGTTTCGGATATGCAAGCAGCTCTTGTTAACCATTTGTCATGGATCCTCTGGAGATCTCCATTCTCGGATAAGGTAAGTATCGCAGTTGACATGTCAACAGCTAATGGAGAGTCCCTGGGGAACACCTAAATTGGAAATGAAAGGCTTGTGAAGAAACAAAGGGGGAATAGCTAAAGTAACATTTATGAACAAGAGGACTAGCTATCATAATTTTTCAGATATGATATAGTGAAACTAAGTGGAGCAGCAAGAGGTAATAAAAGTAATTTTCTAGGCTGATGAAATGACAAATTTCAGGTTACTGCAGCTTAACTCAGTGGTTAACTCAATTCCAGTAAGCGCAGTGGCATCAGGGATCAATTGACCAAACTTTTATAGTTGACTTTGAACATCTATGATAGCACCTCTAGAACTATCAAAACTTGAATACAATGGAATAATAACTTTCCTATCTAAGATAGTACCAGAAGTTGGATGCATTATCATCAAAACAAAAAAATAGGGTTAACTTTTGAAAATGGAAGTAATGGACATTAAAAATGATAATAAATTTTATTCCAAAAAAAGCCTATTTCATGCTAACTTAACTAAAACTTGAACATAAGCTAAGACTGTCTACAAGTTCTCCAACAACCAACAAACCCCCAAAATTTATCCTAAAATTTACCGTTACCTTAAACATTTATTCAGTTTCAACAGCAAGAATTCTAACTTCTATGATTTGGCAAATCCTCTTCTACCATAGTTACATAATATTTTCCAAAATTTCTAAGTTTTAGCAAATATAAGGAAAAGTAAGGAAAACCACTTAGATGTTAGTTTGTAGCACACAAACTCCTGGGTTTGGGAATTCACCACCTTTCTTATTTGAATTGCACATACCCTGAGGATCTTTTGCATGCAACAGACCAATATCTAAAGGATATATAACAAATATGAAGTATACTAAATTGTACAGGTAAAAGTAGATCTTTGCAAAGGTAATCTAGACAAAGAAAAGCTTCCAAAATTGTATTATCTCCATCTGGTTTCAGAAAATGTATTTTATACTGTCATTGGCGGTATCCCACATAACAAGAAAAAACTGTACTGAATCAGCGAACCAAATTACAAATAAACATTAGGGCTTCATATCACATACTCTTCATTTTTTGCATGTTCAAAATTCTAAAATACAATTTAGGCAATATTTGAAAGGATAACAAATCAAATATGAAAAGTTTAGAGCATATCTCTAGAACCTCCTTGTAACTTAAGTTTTTAGTGTATAGAAGAAGCAAAACAAATTTTAAAACATAAAATTTTATTTTTTGGAACTGACAACATATTTGATTTGAAATTTCATAAGGTCAATGAACTCTCAACTTATCAAAGCGAAAAACAAGTTTCGAGGGTTATACATACAGTCAAAGAGACATCAATAACGGAAGGTTATGCTCGAATATTTCACTGGTATACTTAGACATTAAACATTAAGATAGAGATTTGACCAAGCAGACCTGAACATCCTCTGCTTCCCAGAACCCTGTTGAGATTTTTAAAAAAGCAGTTCCCTTGTTTTTTCCAATCAATTAATTCTCTCACTTTCAGCTTGCATAAAAAAATCATATTATGCAGCTGAAACATTCATGCTTGTCTTTCTTGTATCAAGGCTTTTATCCTAATTTTTCATGCGAAAATGATAAATTTAGATGCATGATACAAGTCATTCTCTTCTACATAGATGTAGATTTTATGTCTCTTAAGTCCAGTTTTCTCTTAGAAGCCTTAAATATCTTTTCACACTGCCTACCAAGATTATATTAAGCTGATAGAAATCATTCAATGTTGAGAAGGTAAGGAATGATTTTTCTTGCTCTCTATGGAATGAAGATGATAAAAGACAGAATAATATGTGACCATAAAAAAATTCAATAACTATCAAAGGTACTTACAAAGCCCCAGCCACTTTTGGTAAATTCTGAACCAACAATCGCAAAATTGCAATTTGTCGATAAGAAGAGCTCAACATAGGCACGCTCATCTACGATGGCAGCAACACCACCATTATCAGGCCCCAGTTCAAGAGCTTTTGCATACTCTTCTCGTGATCCAAGGGCTTTAAGCCTGGATCTTGGAATGCTGAGCTCCTCAACCATATAATTTTCAGCAAATGAACCTACTTGAAACCCTATATGTTCATCACTAGCTATCAAGCTGTCAATTCCTTTTATAGGAGATGAGAGTTGTTGCACTGTTAGGATTGATGTCAAGCTTGCAGTGTAGCTAGACTGGATAATCAGAACCACAAAAAGCCATATTATTAGCACTCCTCGTCCTAGAGTGCTCACGGTGTTCTCTCCTGAGGGAAAGGAATGCCAATTTCTATGAGTTAAGCTGCAAATATCATTCTTGAGTTGGAAGAAAGAAGGATAATACTCACTGTGTGCAAAAAACAAAGTTGAAAAGCTGAACCTGCAATAGACCAGTATCAAATTAGATAGGAAAGTACTAAAAAAAATGAAGTATATCAACAAAATAATCATCTTACGCGTGTCTCAAAATTAATTGCAAGTACAACGTGCAAAGAAATGACCATCTTTACTCGTATACACCACTCTATACCTTGTCGTGCCAACCTTTGATACATAATACAAAGCCAGCAATATCACATGAGATTCTGTGCAATTACCTAGACATTTTTTTATATAGTGATTGCAGAATTGTAGAATTCGCATCGATGTGCTTTGTGATGCTATATTGTTCAGCTCCCATATTCTAACAAGGAAAAGAAGGACAATAATGATTGATGAAACCAGTCAACACAAGAACTCACTTGCATTTAAAAATTAAATCAAACTGGTCATTTTCCACAAAAGTGTAGATTATCCTGTAAAAGTTCATTTGCTTATCAGGGTCCATTCGGACATATATGTTTAGATTTCATTTATTCTATAGCTTACCAGAAGACTGTAGCTACTTGTTGTCGTGGTGGACCACGAAATTCGTCATTCATCCTGTGCTCAAGGATCCACACCACAGATCCTATTACCATAAAGAAGAAGCCTGTGACACACCACATCTCCAGAGTAAAAGGCTGCAAGAATGCCCAAGCACTCGATTTGTATTTTCTAATGGGGGCTAGAATAACAAGCCCAGACTCGATGTATGGCTGTGTAAAATCAACAATCTTTGTGCGATTAGTAACAATGGCGATGTCACCTACGGCAGCATCAAATACCTAAAAAGAGGGAAAATGATCAGAATTAGTGAAATAAACTTAGTCATTATAGGACATATCTTTCCATGGGACTTACCCCTGTAGCAACCATATTCACAAGTTCACCGTAACTAGGATTAGCATGACCATTGCCAAATGGTATCAGCTTAAAAGGAACAGCGTAGGGCAGTAAGTTGACAGCAGCAGTAAACACATCAATGCAGTAACCCTTGACAATGCCTGTATGTGGTGATTTTGAGACAAATTCCTGATAACTGACTCTGTTTGGGACAACAATCTTCAGCTCTTTACCATTGTTAGGGAAGACCCATCCTCGAGGCTTTGTTGTTGTTTCCCCAGGCCAGATGACACTGTAGAGCAGATCATTTGCAGGGGAAGCATTAGCCGGCTTCGAATATAGGGTTTCAGGAGGCACAATTGATAACCCAGAGTAGTTGGACCAATAACCAATAGTTCTTGACCCTGTTCCAATTACATTTATGATATCATATGCAGGATGAATGAGATTTCCATCGGAATCATACCGAAGCACTCCAGTTAGACCTGCAAAATTTGTGTTTTGGACCTTTTCCAGAAGAAGTTGTCCTCCATTAAAGACACTCATTGCCTCAAGGTGAAGAGTCCCTCCCTGTATATCATGCAATTTTGAATCATTAGAGAATGAAATGATTCCACGGTCATCAAAGAAGGCATCAATTGCTTTAGCCAACATCCACACAGTGTCATAAGCATATAAGCCGTATGAGTGAAGCCGAAAGTTTCCATCATCCTCTTCTTTGGTCAAGTTGCTCCACCTAGAAATGAAGTTACTCTTCCTCTTTGAATCAGCTGTGTGCTGACGCAGTGTAAGAACCCCTTGCATTGTGTCCATTGTATCAGAGGCAAGGGGGGCTTTGGAATCCAGCAGAGAAGAAAGCCAGTCTGTTGCAATCCAAACATACCCATTCGTCATCATGTCAAGATAATGTGCCACAGAAAGAATCATGGGACCATAATCTTGATTCGAATGCAAGACGATTACACGAGACTCCATCAATGCAACCTTGACCAGTAAATCTGTGACATCACTCCTTGTGGCTACAGGCGACAGCCGAGCTTTGTAAGATAACATGCAGCGCCTCTCTGCAAGTTTATCGCCTAATGCAGCTACTCCATTCCTACCATTGTCATCATCAACGTAGATGGCAATCACCTGTCTCCACTGGTAATAGTCTACTATCTTAGCAATGGCGGCCATCTGAAACAGATCGCTTTGTGAGGTCCGAACAAAGTAAGGGTACTCGAGCGCAGTAAGAGTTGGATCTGTTGCTGAGAACGAGAGCAAAGGGACATGGAGCTCGTTGGCAAGATGGGAAATGACATGAGCAATGGTCGAACACTGTGGCCCAACTATCGCAACAGTATCAGTCTCCATAAATTGCAGAGCTGATACATGAAATTGGATGCACAACCATTACGTGAAGCTAGCTAGAAAACCAGGATTCAGTAGCAAAAGGAAGATAGATGAGGTCTGTAACCTTCCATCATGCCGAAGAACCCGCTGCAGTTGGTATTCCTCATCGTGATATCCAACCTTGTGCCTCGAAGAACAGTTGGGTCGGAGTTGACATCCTGCTTTGCGGCATCAATGGCGACCTTTGCGACTCTTCCAATGGTCGAGTTGAACGTGAAAATAGCCCCAACGTGCACAACGGCGGGCCTCGAAGAGACGCTCCTTGTTGCACCGCTGGTGATCGAGAAAAGGCAAAAGAAGAGAGGAAACAGAGCCAACATCATGTCGATGCAACGACTGCTGCTTCTCAAAGCTGAAACACACCACAACTTCTCTGAGCAAGGAAGATAAGCAAAACCACTCAACAGATTAAGCAATTCAATCATATATCAGAAAACTGCTTCGATAGAAGATATGGTGCTGAAGTACAACCCACTCGAGTATCTCAAGATAAAGGGCCAAAGATACAAATTTCACCATGCGGAAACCGATAAACCCACCATATTTGTAAGAAGATCGAAGACAAAACCAAATCTTCTAAATGGGAAAATATATCGACATCATAAAACATCCAAAAAGGTCAGCTTTATAAGACAAAACTAAAGAAAAATGAAGCAAAACCAGCATAACTAAACCTCAAGAAGGGCGTTTCAGCTCAACTCAAACCAAACTCCTTTCCATGCAGCAAAAAGAAAGTCATTCAGGGACGGAATCCATTCTCGCAAGCCCAAGACAGACTATTCTTACTGGAAAGAAAAGGTTGGACAGAAGCAGAGCAGCTGTGCTTACCGGTTTTGCTGTGAACTGTTACGGCTTTATGCTCCACAGAGTTTCCCATCGGCTCGATTCTTCTGCGTGACAAAATGCGAGAGCTTTATATGAGGGAAAAGAGTGCTACTGTATTGTAATTGATATGGACAAGAGCAGAAGCTGCAGCACTGTGAACCGGGGCAGTCTCTTTGAGGCTCCATGGGCCCAACCTGAGGTCGAACACTTGGTAGGCGCCTTTCGAGGGAGTCACTGGTGAAGAGGTGCTGGCATGGGGTGGGGTCTTATATAAGAAGTGATCGGACGAAGGATGTCTCTTCAAAGGAAAAATATCAGAACAAGAAAGGGATCATATCCCCGGAGCACAACACCTCCTTTTGGGATGCCATATTTCGGTCTCTGCTTGTTCATATCGGTACTCCTCGGTGCTTCTCCTCGTGTATTGGACTTCGCTGTCATGTGAACTGGATCTATTCCACCCTACGAAGCTACGCAAAATCTCGCCCTACCGTGTTCTTCCCACGTCATGAATACTTTGCACACCGCACGACGCTCAAGATCAGATTTTGACGCCAAAGCTCTACCGAAGAACCAAACAAGCTCTTGCAACCCGGGAATCAATCGACGTCGTGCAATCTGCGGGGGAATGCATCGAGTTGCTTGGTGGAGCTCCTGCCAACCTCAACAGAAGCAAAACGTGACGGATTTTGGCTGACGCCAACGGATTCACACCTATCTCAATAACATGGCACCGGAGAACGCAAAGCTTCTTCATTTGTGGAAGGTAATGAGGTGGTAGTGTCATCATATGTTGTTTCTTATGGTTTCTTCTACGGTTGTACGAGCAGTGACCAGCCATTAATGGCCACTTGCAGCATGAACAATCATGAGACCAGAATTGCTTGCAGAAAAGAAGTCCTCGCCATGACCAAATACTACTATTCTCACCTCGTGAGTTGCATCACTACAAGGATCAGATGGAATAGGAATCTGCAGCAAGAAAACAGGGACTGTCAGCTCTGATGCATTGATTAGCATCTGATACTGTCTTCCACTACACAAATTATAGGAAGGAATTCCTTTTCACCTCTCTTAGCTCTCCAAAATTTCTTAACAATTATATAAAAAAAAAGGATTTTTTTTCTCACAAAATTCAAAATGAGAAATAAAAGACATAATGGATAATAAAAAAGAGATCAAAATAGTTGTTGACTGTCTTGTGAATGAGAAATCCAACTGTAAAGTTTTGGAAGGAGAAATTTCATATGGATTTGGCAGCCATTTTTTATACTTACCTAAACAGATCCTTTTAGACTTGTGAAAGACCAATACAGTTCTTCTCTTTCGGGGGAGAAAAGAGATTAGATTCTCATTCTTGTTGGGTCAGCTAGATTTCTTTTGTCATTAGAACCTTATTCTCTCTCATCATAGCTATGTAAGATTTATCTGCTTGGGGTTCCCTCTCTCCCTCAAGACTCTAAACACAAAATGTGAATAGAGTTGGTGGAATGATGGAAGATATCAACTGATACAAGATATATATTCCATATGAAGCATATAATACCTGAAAGGGAAATCAGCATACCATCAAGACTATAGAGGTGTGTCTTATCCTTGATGACAAGCTTAACCAAGCCATGTCCAATGGCACAAGTCTATATTTTGAAGCCACAGTTTCATCAAATGTAGGAATCTGGGAACATGCAGCAAAGGGTGAGTTGTCATCCAAGGGCCTCTGAAGCTTTGAAATATAGGCAATGGATGCTTTTATTATCTACTTGTCATCCAATTTCTTTACTTTAATTGTCCTTTTTATTATTTAATGATTGGCAATGGAGCTTCAGCATCCATTGAAAGGTGAGCTGCAAAGAAATCATTGTTTTCATGTTGGAATAATCTGCATGTTTGGTAGTCAGGTTTCTGCCAATGAACACTAAAAAAGCAATGGAGTGGAGGAATCACAATGTACTCAGTTCTTTCAAACAAATTCATGATGTGCCTTTTGCAGATCTAATTAATTGGGTTTATGCAAGAGGGTATGGATCAATTCACAGATGCAGGAAAAATATATTTTCCCAGCAAAAAATTGGACTGCAGAGCATCCCACAAAACATGGTTTTAATTCATATAATAGATACGGTAGAGTGTCATAGACCACAGATATATTTGGACAGCAGAAAAGTAATGCTGTCTCATCAGATCAGAAGAATATTGCTTAAGGATGCAAGCAAAAGGTCTTTCTCTCAGAGAGATGATAGGAACTGTCAAAACTTTATATTGTGGTTAGAGACAATCAAAAGAAGAGATGCATGTCTTATCATGAAATGAAAAGCACACAAATCTTCTTAGAAAGAGGCTTAAGGAAACCAAATTGTCTGTGGAACCCTTGGATGATTTAGGAAGTTTCCTAACTCTTAAAATGAACTCTTAAACTTACTTGGGTTATGAAGATGGATAGGCTGAGAACATGCTTCATCTCAGGGATGCAATTTCTAATGCTTTCATGCATTTCAATTAATTTAGTTCCTTGAATGATGGTGACAAGTTAGTGGTGGGCAAATGCAACAGAAGCTGGTGTCCATTCTTCTTTCTTCAGATGCTGCTTTCTTCACATTCCTTGTCTTCTTTATGAGTCAGTAGCTTGAAAGAAACATGTTATATATATAAAGTGCCAGACTCAACATCACATGTATATATACACAGCAAAGCCTACACTTGCATCCTACTCATTAAAGATATGAGATGATATCATTGGAATCACTACTGCTTCTTATGTATATTATGTGTTACAGCAACACTCCTCATGCTGCAGAGATCCCCATCTTATCAGTGGAAAAGTCACATCCTGAAGTTTGGGCATAAGCTAAAAGCTTATCTAAATGATCTAATTTTATCATGGTAAATTCTTCTGATCAACTACAAATGATCATCAAAATGTTGAAGATTTTATTTTTTTGCCTTGTCATAAGGATTTTGATTGGATTACTACAAATCCAGAAAAGGATTCAGTCTATATTAGACTCTAACATTTCCTCTCATATACAAAGTGAAGCTTGATACATGAAATTGAACACAGGTGTGTGGTGTAAAACAATTAAAAAGGACATTGCATAATATCAATTAAACATCAAAAAATAGAAAAGAGAACATATGCAGATTTTAGTTAGGTTACCATAAATTTTAAAAACAAATTATTAGAAAAGACTCAATCTATTATTAAACTCACACACACACACACACAAAGATATATATATATATATATATATATATATATATATATATATATATATATATATATATATATATATATATATATGAAACTAGATTATTTTCTATAATGTTTATAAAGATTGGGCTGAAGAAAAATCAAGGAAAAAAAAGGAAAAGTAATCACCCCAAGCAACATATGTAGAGCAGATAACACAAGTAGAGGATATTAGTTATACAGATCTAATTAGTATATATGTATGTTAATAATCTGTCCTTTTAATCCTTTTATTTTTTACCTATAAGGAATTTTTACTTTTAGTAAAATGCTTGATGAAATTAGAAGTAGGCATTGTTATGATGGTAATAATGGCAAAATGCTAGAAAGTGTACAAACAAATGGGAGTACTAACATTATATTTCCACATTTTATATATTATTTTTATTTTTTTGGAACACATCTGCAAGTAACGTATTTCCATCCTACGCCATTTTGAGGTGGCACGGATTTTGTGGATCATGCAATACAGGGTCGTCCGGATTCTACCAATCAAAATTCAGATTTACGTGAATGTCAGGGCATATTAAAAGAATGAACAAGAAGCTCCGTCGGGTGATGGGTCGCCGTCGATGCGCCGCAGTCCATCTCACACATTAAATCCGCAAGACGCCTGCGGCCGACTTAATCCACTCCTTTGGTGGGTCCCGCGGGTGGCGTTTTGCGGGTCCCAAACTTTTGCGTCGCTATGTCATATCATTAACCTGTAAAAGTACTTTAAACCCGCAAATTTTCCTGCGCTGTTCGCGGGCGCGCGCGTGAGAGAGAGAGAGGAGAGCGAGATCCAACGCCTCCCCCTTTTGCTATTTACGGGAAACACCTCTCGGGGATTGGATTGCCTCAAAGGTCCCATCGCCTCCTCGTCCTCCTCGTGTAGGGTTTGCGCCTAATTTTCAATCTCATGTGTGTGTTCTTGGTTCGGTTTTCCTGTCTTCTGCCGAAAACGAAGAGCTTATTTTCCTGTGTTTGGTAGCGTTAGGAGTTAAAGATTGTAATTTGATGGGTTGCGGCTGGCGAAGGGCGGATTTGGATGGCTTTTTCTTGAGTTTTGGTTCCTTTTTGGTGACATGGTGGCTTCCGTAAGTCAGTTGGAATTTGTAGAACAAAGAGGGATTTTGAGCCTTTCGTCGATTGGTTATGATCAGCACTTTGAACAGATTCAGCAGCAACAGCAGGGCATCACTTCTATGCAATGATTCAAGAAAATCTGCCGAAGATGGCGAAACATCTCATCGCAAGAACATGGAGGGGTTGAGCATTTCCAAGAGCCTAGTGCGGAGCGTGAGCCAGAAGTATTAGAAGAAAATGAGCGTCTTTAGAGCAGCCCATAGTGGTGGAAGCTCCAGGCACAATTCCTCTACATGCCTCGGCCTTTATGTGAAGGGTGGCGGGTGTCGTCGGGTGGGTGCTTGCGACGACTTTGATTCTACTATCAAGAGGCGGTTCAGTGCCATGGACGAGTGCATCCCGCACAGGATGGTCAATGGGGTTGAAGATGGTGGGGTAGGGATGGAGTGCTTCTCTTATGGCGTTTCGGAGAAATTTTGGAGGAGTTCCAGGAAGGAGAAGCCATCTATGCAGTGCCCATCAACTTCATCATCTGCTGTTCCGGCTTCGCTACCTGATGATGTGTTGGAAATGATTCTTGCTCGGCTTCCTTTGTCATCTGTCATGACAGCACGTTGCGTGTGCAAGAAGTGGAGGCACTTGACAAGCACGCCCCATTTCATACAGATGAGAAGCGACTGTTCTTATTGTAGTCCATGGTTGTTCCTGTTTGGCATCATGAAGGGTGGGTGTCATGCTGGTGACATTCATGCTTTGGATGTCTCTGGCGATCGATGGCACAGGATTCACAGTGATGTGCTAAAAGGCAGGTTCTTGTTCTCTGTTACAAGTATTAAGAGTGATATCTATGTTGTTGGTGGTTGCTCTAGGTCTTCTTTGTCAATGGAGAATAGGTACATCAAGACTCACAAAGGGGTCCTGGTGTTTAACCCTTTGAGCGGCTCGTGGCGTAAAACTGCACCGATGAAATCAGCAAGGTCAGGACCTGTTCTGGGTGTCTTTGAAGTAGGTGCCAGCTGCAGTTTGTTTGAAGCTCGACCCAAGTCCCAAGATCAGCTTCAGTTGAAGTCTCGGATTGGAGGAGTCTCTGATGTGTATAAGGATCCACACAGACTCTCTGTCAGGCTTCGGCTTAGAGATGCTTTTAGTGAGGAGGATGTTTCATCGGAGCGCAAAAGAAGACCATCCAACTTTGTTGGAGAAAATATGAGCAAGCAGTTAAAATTTGCACTGATTGCTGTGGGTGGTTGTGGATCCTGGGATGAACCTCTCGAATCTGGTGAGATCTATGATCCTGTAACTGATAAGTGGATAGAGATTGCAAGTTTGCCAGGGGAATTTGGAGTCATTTGCTCAGGTGCCATATGTGGCAAAATGTTTTATGTTTACTCAGAGACAGATAAACTCGCAGGCTATGATCTGGAAAGAGGCTTCTGGATGACAATTCAGGTGTGCCACCCTCCTCCCCGGCTTCGTGAATACTACCCGAAGCTCATTGCTTGTAGCAGTCGGTTGTTCTTCTCTTGTGTGTCATGGTGTGAAATAGATGGCCAACCAAACAGGAGGGAGATAGCTGTGAGGAAGTTCTGGGAGCTGGATTTCACTTTACGCGCATGGAATGAGGTCTCATGGCATCCAGATGCTCCCATGGACCGGGATGCCATGTTTCTTGCAGATGACGATATGATTTACAGTATCGAGATGTTTAGGATATTTGGGCAGGTCCTGGATTTCTTAACTGCTTGTCATGTTTCTGAAACTGGACTGAAGTGGCACCGTATCACCAAGAAGCATGCAACACATGAAGTGGATGCTTCTTCATGTGTAATCAAGTCAATGCTGGTGTTGCACCTCTGAACTTTATGTTGTTCAATGTTTGTCACACTTTTGGTTGTTTACATGCAAGACACAATTATGTACTTTTGTTCATTGAAACTGACTCAGAAGTGGAGGAGGGAGCATCAGTGAAGAAATGTGCAACAATGAGATGAAATTGGCGATTCAGAGTCATGGCTATGTTTAGAGTTGCCTCAAAGAAAAGAAGGTAATACCTCTCATAAGTAGTAGTTTAATTGTTTGGTTCCTTATAGGCAAAATTCATAATGTATTGAATTGCTGGGACAGAATCGTTGTGTATGATTTTACCATTTCTTCAAACCTATATCAAAGTTGTCTTTGGATTTGTGGATTAATTTTTTTCTCGTTTAATCAAGTTTAAGTTTCAAGTTCAATCATTTATTTATGTGACTGGAATCCATGATGCATTCTTCTTTTTGCTACAGTTATATAAAAAGAAGACACATCCTTAGCTGATCTTTAGGAATCTACCTGTGACAGTATCTTAACAATTGAGGTTCCAAGATACTGTTTGCATCAGTAACTTGGTATTCAAACAAGGTTTCAAACCCTCTTCCTATTAGAAATGGATTCGGATATATACCAGCAGGGTAAATGGTTGGGTGTCACTTAGATGATGTTATAAAACCAATCACACCATGCAAAGAGCTACTTCAATTATGTAATATTGTTGAGTACCACTATGCTTTCTTCTCTTTAAAATTTACTTATATTAAAAAACAAACCTTTTATTTATCGGATTATATCTGGCTGAGATACTTGAATGATCACAAAGTGCTGGTCTACCCAAATCCAATACTGTCATTCCAGAAAAAATATATTAGGAAAATCATAGGCACAATCAGTTTGAGGACACTTTCTTGCTTCTCTTTGGTATGTATTAATGTACTAATAGATAGTATTCTGATACTGGCAGCACATACCAGTCCCATTTGGAATCGGCATGCGATTGCATTCCTTGCAACTAACAACTCCCATTCAGAAACAATCCCCAAAGAAAAATAGCACCAAAGTCCTACTCATCCTTGTTCTGAAAGCAAACCCCAGAAACAAACAAGTAGCAGTTCACCATCCTTCCTAGAAAGACATGCCAACTTCTAATCTGCAATCTCACACCTTCAGCAGGGCAACATGGTAGTACTACCACACATCTCAGAGCTGCTCATGTGGAATTCAATGCTCGTCTTGTACTAATCTTTATCCTTCAAAGTGTACTTCAATAGAATGGTGCAGTACAAGGTCCCATAAATCTCCCAGGTCTATTCTCTGAAATGTACAGGTCAGCCAACCAACTTCCTTGTCATACTTTTCTTGTGTGTCTAATCCATAATTGCATAAAAGCTCATTCAAATTATTTATGAGCTCTGTGTTCATGGAAATCTTCTTCTCCTAGGGTTTCAAGACATCACTGTCCTTAACGGTTGTTTAGAACTTTCTTGCTAGTACAAGACCAGCTTTCCTAAGTAAGTTCTCAACTACTGAGCTCCCTTTGCTGCAACTTTGGTCAAGTTTGTTTATGCAGTAGCCGGTGTTTAGCTTCTTTATGATCTTCCTCTTCCTGCCGCTTGGGAGCTCAAAGTATGCAATCCAACCTCAGATTTGCTATCTGTTCCTTATTAATCAATATGCTTGTGAAGAATTAATGGTTTCCAAACAACTATATTTATCACACTTGCAGAAAAGGAACCCTATCAATGTTTTAATTGTTTTTATAGCATTCTACATGCAATCTTCAGAGCTTCTACTTACCTGAAATGCTTGCAATTCTTTAAGATTTATCTCTAGAAGCACCTCCAACATCTCTTCTGATTCCCAATTTGGTATGTAGATATGTGATAGAGTCAAGGCTTTGCAGTCACCAAAAAACAAATTTAAGGTAGGAGTTGACTGTATCAAGCATTTCTGATATTTGATTCATGTGGATCTGTGCATACAAAATTAATTTGAAGTGTAAAGTGTTTCTCATGGGATTAGATTATTTCTGTTCTTTTTGAACAAAAATAAACATATAAGAATCCTTTCATATGATTACAAAAGTAGATTTTGCATTGCCACCATTCTAACAATGAAACCATAGGTAGCATTGTGAAACATACAGGAAAACCCCTTTGAAATTATTATTATTTTTATGCTATTGGCATGAATGATTAGGAAAAAATAGATATGACTTATATAAATATAATTATGGAAAGACTTATACTTAACATTAAAAAAAATACCAATATTAACATCCAAAAAACCTGAATATATACCCACACAATTCTTTTCTCACCTTCTCCCTACTTCTTCATCCAAAGATCTCTTGATACTTTTTCCTCCTTAAATTTTCAGAATTAGAATATACGAGATTCCATAAATCTGAAGATACGAGATTCCATACATGAATATACGAGATTCCATCAATGTGAAGATTAGGATGGATTAATGTATGTAGTCTTATTCCATTACGTAGAATAGTTGTTTTCGTGAATCAACGCTGACCATATTTTAGAGAATTAAAAAATAGAAGGAATTTAATTTATAAGAATATTAAAATCAAATAAAGAAAATATAGAAAATAATTAAATGCTGACGAGACATATTTGGCACGTAAAAGAATCCGACCAGCAATACTTTATCCTCCGTTCAAAAAGTACCCTCGCCGTCTTATCGCCTCGTGATTCGGTGCGGTCGGGCCCCAGCGGGACCCATAGTTAAGGCCGAATCAAAAGGCAGGTACTTATGGCGGCAGATACGTGAAGCCGGTGACAAAAGCATGCTGGCAACGGACACAATGACCTTTTTCCGTATTACCAACCGCATTGTTTCGTCTTCTGATTCGCCAGTATATTGGGCCCCACTGGGACCCAGGGTAAAGCATGAAAATTTTTCGAATCAAAAGGTAGGTAAGTTAAACGGGTAGAAAACTGTCAATGCTTTTGTGTCGCAGCACCAGAAGGAACTCCTGTGTGTCGGCTACGACAGGAACGAGAGATCGTCCAGCACCTAGTTCTTGCCACGTCTGGGACCCAATGCTGTGGCGTACTGGAAAGCGAATAGCAAGTGTTCTTTCCATGTTTCGTGGCCTGGTTCAGAGCTTAGCCATGGGCGTTCCCCTCCGGAACCGCCCTCCAAACGACTCTTCTTCTTCTTTTATATCAGTAAAAGAACAGGTATAAATACACACTCTCCCACGGCGAGGAGGACGAGACCCGCCTTTTGGCATTTCCTAGCTTTGTTTGCTCCCTTTTCCTCTCATCGGTCTCAGCCTCCTTTCCCTTTCTTCTCACTCGCTCCTTGTTACCGGCTGGTTCGCGAGGCACCGAGGCTGTCCCGACCACCACCATCTCCCAGTCCTCCGATCACGGTAGCGCTCTCTCCTCTCCCAACCTTGTGGCTGCGGTTTTCATCTTCGTTCTGGTTTCCTTTTGACCCTTCTTCTTCGATCTTGTTCTACACGAGTCTGCTCCCAAGCGGGGATCAGATTCGTCGAATGCGCTGCGATCGGATCCCTTTTTTCCTGGTTCCTGCCATCTTTTCGCCAGTTTCTGGGGTTCGATCTTGGGGGCTAGGGTTGGGTTATGGTTCCAGAAGCTGAGATCGAAATCCATATGGGTTTATTTGTTTTCTTGCTACAGGTGGGGTTACATGGATTTTGATCTGGCCTTTGATCTTTCTCATGGTGGTTGGTTTGGTTCGACGACTCCTATTTTGGCTTTCGATTCAGTAGATCTACTGATTTCTTGTCTCTGTTCGTTGTTTGTATTTTTCCCTCTTTACTAAGTTGGTGCTTTAACTGCTAAAATCTGTTCTAGTTTGACCTCCTCGTCGCTTGTAACTAAACTCTTGTCGTGTCAAACTGTTGTTCATTGTTTATACTATACATATTTTTTCTCGAATGTAACGTGCCGCCGTCTTGTTTTATGCTGTCTGCTCATGTTCTCTTCAGATATTTTCTAACAATTTCTCTTTTTCTTCTGACACTTTCTTTCTTCTCTTTACACTGCTTCATTCACTTATGGACTCATCGGAATGTTGTTTCTGTACGATTTCGTGCTTCGATTAAATATTTCACGTTCAAGCTCTTTCTATACTTGCAGTATTTTCTTCTGTTTCATTTTTTTTTCTAATCATTTATCTTTTATTCCTTTATTTAATTTGTCTTGGAAATATTATTATAGTATTTTCTTCTTTGGAATGAGCTCATTTCTCCGAGGAGAATGTATGGTCTATCATCTTTCTCGTTTGACATTTCGAAAATTTAAGTCTTTTGCTGTAGAAGAATGATCACACTTTACAGTCTGCTGTGTCCTTTGTTTGATCTGCAACTACTTATATTGTTGTCAAATTTCATGTTTTTGGTATGCTTGAGATTGTTTCCAATTTATTCTCTCTTTGGAAAATCATTCATGTTATCGTATCCTCTTTCGCGTATGATTTTCTGCTGAGCGCAAAAAACCTTCCGTGTTCTTTTTCTCTTTTTCATGGTTCTATAGTTTGACACGTTGGTATTGCTCATGAACTTTCTATATGCCCTTGTGGATTATCAACTTCGAAGAAACGATAGACTTCTCCTTGAAATCTGCTGCGCCATCTTGTTAAATCATGCAACGATATATGCCAAAGATTTTGGTGCGATGTGTTGCTATGTTAATTATGTTCGTTCATGGTGGATACTGTGCCAGAAATTTTCTATACGATATGCTACCGTTATTTCTGGTTAATTATGTTGTTTCATGGTGTGCCAGTTGACCATATTGTATTTATTGTTGGCATTTATTATGTATCAGGGGGTTCCGTCCTGCAACTCTTTTGGTTAGATTTTCTTCTGTGTTTTGCATCTCTCCAGTATCATGCTTTGCATTTATTTGGCACCTAGGCATCTGCGTAGGCAGACGAAATATTACCAGCTGTTTATAAAATCATGAGGGGAACAATGCTTGTTTTGCTAAATGATGACTTTCTCTGCCAATAATTTAGTTCTAAGTGTATCTTTTATAGATGCTTTGTTGGTTTCATTATTTTCTTCCTATCAGTTTTTATCAGGGTCTGATATATTATTGTAGGAAAAATGTCTAAACTCCATGCTCTTATGCAGTTGACAACATGGTGAGAAAACGAAGAACTGAACTTCCTGGATCTAGGGAGAACATCGAAACTAGAGAGAGTATTGGCAGCAGTCAACCAGCTGTGCCCACTCACCGGTTGGAGACGAATCCGACTTCCCAGCAACAGAGAGCTGGGGCGGGACATGGTTGGGTTCCATCAAACCCTCTTCTACCCCAACAAGCAGGCCGAGGTAGTGCAGGATATCAGGGGCACGGTGGATGGCGGCCCCATGGAGTCCCAGCACCACAGCAGCCTGGTGCACCAGCTCACGAGTACCAAGTTCATTGTGGGCCTCTGCCCAGTGGCGCAATGCCACCTCAGCGACAACATGGTGTATGGCAGGTTAGTGGCAGTGTACCTGGTAGAAGTGGGGTAAGCCCCTCAGCTGCAGGTCCATCAAGGCCACCAGCTCCCGAGCTGCACCAAGCAATGCAAGCTCCTTATCAAGTTGCCCAAGCATCATTGTCACAGGGGAGGTCACCATGGCACCATGAGACTTCCTCTGCTCAAACTGCAACATCATTTGAACAGCTTTCTGTTCAAGATACAGCTACATCAAGCCAAGATATCCAGCCAGTGGTTTCACCGCCGTCTTCAAGTAAGTCTATCAGATTTCCATTGCGCCCTGGAAAAGGTAGCTTTGGTGACAAATGTGTGGTGAAGGCTAATCACTTTTTGGCTGAACTACCTGACAGGGACCTTCATCAATACGATGTGAGTTTTTCTTTTTGGTTCCTCTGCACTGCTGCTTCAAATTTTCAACTCTTTTCAATAAAATTATGGTAGAAATTAATGTTTTCACTTAATTTAACCAGGTTTCGATTACACCAGAAGTTGCATCCCGGGGTGTCAATCGTGCTGTGATGGAACAGTTGGTCAGATTGTATAGGGAGTCTTATCTAGGAGGGCGCCTTCCTGCTTATGATGGCAGGAAGAGTCTCTATACAGCTGGTCCATTGCCTTTTGCCTCAAGAGAGTTCCACATCACTCTTACTGATGGGGAAGATGGTACAGACATCAAAAGGTGGAATAGCCATTCAACTTTTTGTTACAATAATTTTTAAGGTTTTCATGCACCCTAATGGTTCATGAAATGTATTTCTGTCCTGCAGACACCAGAGGACATTCAGGGTTGTTATCAAGTTTGCTGCCCGTGCAGATCTTCACCATCTCGAGATGTTTTTAACTGGGAGGCAGCCCGATGCTCCGCAGGAAGCACTGCAAGTTCTTGATATCGTTCTGCGTGAACTGCCAACGGCTAGGTAGGTGTCAATGTATGCTCCACATTTATGTTTTATGGATGAATTTCGATTGTGACATTGTCTCTTGGTGATGGTTCACAGATATCTCCCTGTTGGTCGTTCCTTTTATTCTCCTGATCTAGGAAGAAGGCAGTCACTCACTGAGGGATTAGAAAGTTGGCGGGGCTTTTATCAAAGCATTCGTCCAACACAAATGGGCCTCTCTTTAAATATTGGTAGTGAATCTCTTCTTTCTTTATTTTTGCCCCTCGTTGTTCTTAAGATGTATGAATGTTGTTAGGCAAGCCAAACAAACTTCATTCCAAAAATAGAAACTAACACAGTACAAAAAACATATTTACAAAAAGATCAACTCTTCATTAGAAAGACAACTGCCCTATTGTGCTCTACCACAGAGTGGATGTATACTCTGTTATTGATTGTCTGTATTTCTTGAGATCCTTAGAAAGCTTATCCACTTAAGGTGCCAATGACAAACCTTTGTGACTTTTGTTTCATTGGATTATCTTTAAAGTAATTTTACTTAATACTAAAATGGGTACTATAGCATGATGCTATTTCTTAATTACTCGGAGTGAACTACTGGAAGACATTCCTGTGGAAGAGCTTTAAATTAACCTACAGAGCTCTCTCAGTAAAACTAATGCATAAATTGATTTCTTGCAATAGTTGTCATACTTAATTATGTAGGTTTCCTCAAACTCTCTTTCTTTCTGCAGACATGTGTTCCACTGCTTTCATCGAGCCTCTTCATGTCATCGACTATGTCACCCAGCTTTTGAATAGGGATGTCCGTTCAAGACCATTGTCAGATGCTGACCGTGTAAAGGTTGTCTTTATTTATTTTCAAAGAACTTCCTGCAGCATAAATTACTTGTTATTCTTGTGAAGTTTTCATTCATGCATTTCATAACCTGATATCTAGAAACTAAAAGCTTTCATCTCTTCTTTCCCTTGCAAACTTTGTTGGGCCTTGATCATTTTGATGTTGAAGTTAAAAGTAAATCTGTAGCTTTTCTCACCCTGAGATAAAGCACTGCATGCTTTGTTTTACCTGGCTCAGTGTTTCTCATACTTGCAAATTTACATTTAGTTATCTTTGTTTGTTAAACATGTGAGTAGGCGTTGAAGAGTTGACATCAGGTTTTTCATTATTCCATTTTAGTATATTTCTGCCTCATATCTGGTTCTGTGCCCCAGATTAAGAAGGCTCTCAGAGGAGTAAAAGTTGAGGTTACTCATCGTGGAAATATGCGCCGAAAATATCGCATATCTGGTTTAACTTTGCAGGCAACTAGAGAGCTCACGTATGAAACATTGCCCCGTAACTTTTCTGTAGTTTTTTTTGTTATATTTGGTTCTGATTTTCTTTGCATATTGTCATCAAGAATTGCTAATCTTCCACACTGTTCTGAAAATTTTGAAAAATAGCTTCCCCGTTGATGAGAGGGGGACGATGAAATATGTTGTGCAATATTTTCAAGACACATATGGATTTACCATCCAGCACACAAATCTGCCATGCCTGCAAGTTGGTAACACACAAAGACCAAATTACCTGCCTATGGAGGTAAGCATATCAATTACTATTGTATGATTATATGGTGCATGTAATAATTAAGTATTATATACTATATATTTGTTGATAGAAGTATTTTGCAGATCCACCTATGAGACATGCATTACAATCTATCTTGACATGATTTAGGTTTGTAAGATTGTGGATGGGCAGAGATACTCCAAGCGCTTGAATGAGAAACAAATAACTGCTCTTCTGAGGGTGACATGTCAACGCCCTCATGAACGGGAGCGTGACATTATTCAGGTAGCGGATTAGGTTTAAGTCATTTGACTTGATTGAAAAATAGCCTTTTGTTCCATAAGAAAATAGCCTTCTCAATTATAAAATTCGAAGTTATAATAGTTGGCTTTAGTCTTTTTATGTAATTGAACCAATTCATCTTTATTTGTGGTACTTCATGGCTAGAAATTTGAATAGGATGTGTATCTTCTAGGATAATGCATTGACATCCTTTTTATATAGATTTTCGATTTTTATATATTGTTTTATTCTTCTTGTGAATGATAATATTAGGTGGAATTAATCAGTGATTTCAATAGGTGCTCGGCCGCTCGCCTAGGCGCTCGGGTAAAGTGAGGCGAGGCCCGAGCGCCTCGCTTCATTCCCAAGCGACACGCTTCAAAGAGGTGTCGCCAGGGCGCTCGCCCGGGTTAAACCAAGCGATCGAACCAATGTTTTAGGTCTGGTTCGGTCTCCGGTGCTTTAGTTGGTTCAATCGAACCAACTAAAGCATCGATATCAGCCTTCCTCTCGCGACTTCCCAACCTTAACCCTGCTCGTCGCTACCGCTGCCACTGTCACCGCTGTCGTTGCTCGCTGCTATCGTTGCTCCCACTGCTCGCTGCTACCATTGCCACTATCGTCGCTCGTCGATCTCGCTCCCGCTATTGTTGCCGCTGCTACTATCACCGCTCGTCGCTCTCGCTCCCACTCCCGCTGCTCGCTGCTACCGCTGTCATTATCGTCGCTCGCCGCTCTCGTTGCCATTGCCGCTTCTTGCTGCTACTGCTGCCACTACCACTGTCTCCGCTCGCCTCTCCCGCTCCCATTGTCGTTGCTTGTTGCTACCTCTTCTCACATCGACTCGATAGTATACTGTTAATAGTATATTAACAGTATACTGTTAACTGTATACTAATAACAATAATTTTTTATTTATTAGATCAATAATATATTATTTTGATTTTAATATTGTTAATTTTTATTTATTTGAAATTATTGTTATTTTTTTGAATTTTGAGATTTTTGTTAATGTGATATTGTGATTTTGTAATAATTTTTTTAATTTAATATCATATTTTTGTTTAAATAATTATATTTATTAATTATATTATATAGTTTTATATTTTAGCTCCTCGCTTTGCTCAGGCGAGCGCCTAGCGCCTCGGGCGTTTTTGAACCTTGGCGCCTTTTGACGCTTAGCGCTTTTTAAATCACTGGAATTAATCAATAAGAACAGGTTAAGGTGGGGATTAAAAAAAAAAAGAAAAGAAAGATGGATCTTGCTTATAGTTTATATCTAAAATATACTTTTCATATAAAATCCCATTTGTTGTTATGTCAAGTGTGCAGATCTTGGTTCTCGGGTCCTTCTAACCGTTATCTTAATCATATATTAGGGATTAAAGGATGCATGAATTTGTCATGTAAAATGCAGTTGAGAGTCAACTTGAGATTTCTGACACTACCAAATATAATTATTTGTACACTTTATTAAACATTTGAAGATGTTAAGGCTGAAGCCTGGATTATATATATATACATATACATACATATATATATATACATATACATATATATATATATATATATATATACATATATTATTTTTCCTGTTATGTAGCTTCATTTGCTTTGTGGTTTGGGTTCGAGTTCCGGAGAAGCCATGCATGTGGAACCGTTGGTGAATTTTGTTTAAGGACTTGTTTTCTCATGGCTTTTCTTAGTTCATCTGAGCTCTGCTGATTACAAGTTGACATCTTAATTTCCTGGAATCTGTACTGTTAGAACATTTTATTAATCTGGATTTCATGTTGATTTAACGTGGTCCTATTGTGAAAGAAGAAAATCGAAGCCTGGAAATATCCAAAATTTGGGTACCTTCACATTATGAAAATTTTAACATACTCGTTTCCCTTTTCAAGATAGGCTGGCAAATTCTAACATATATATATATGTATTTCCTTAGACGGTTCATCAAAATGCATATCATGAAGACCCTTATGCTAAAGAATTTGGCATCAAGATCAGTCAGAAACTTGCATCAGTTGAGGCACGAATATTACCAGCTCCTTGGGTAAGTTGACATTGCAGTTTTTGTGTTATCTTCTCATGGTAGGTTGATTTATTATTGACTGCTATCTTTTCATCTCTGTAGCTCAAATACCATGATACTGGTAGAGAGAAGGATTGCTTGCCAAGAATTGGCCAGTGGAATATGATGAATAAGGTGCCAATAGTTTGTTTTAATAAAGTTTGTAAGTTGTGACTTGAACAGGTTCAACATATTATTGCAAAATGGCTATTCTACATGTTTTTCCCATTATAATGATTCATTTCTAGATTTATGGATCGCCAGAATGTTTGTCCTACCGAGATTAACGAGTTCTATGTAAGCTTTAACATTTTGATTTTGCTTTAGAGTTAAGACTATATTTAATCTGGTCAGAATGACCGAGTCTATATGGATTTCTGGTTATAATATGTTAGCCATTGTAGTCCTCTTTGGTGGGAGCTCAGTAGGTTTTTTTAATCCTTCAGTTAAGAAGTAAACCCTTTTTGTTAATCCTTTGCTCCTCTGGGTGATATGAGTTGCTCTTCTTCTCAACATTTCCATTAGTGAGGAGCCTCTTGTTGGCTCCTCTTACCTGAGGCTGTTATAGCAAACTTGTGCCTAACTCTTGTATGCTCAATCTTATTTGCCCTTCTTAGCATGGTTCCTAAAATTGCTTAGAATAGGAAAGTGGAAATAGAGGCAATGCAATAGCAGAAATCTATTGCTATGACCGCAAAAAGGAAAAGACTGCCATTGTTGTGCTTGTCATTTGCTTCAACTATCAACTTTGTCATTTATTTCAATTATAAATTGTTCTAGCCTTTTATCTTTCACTGATTAAGACATAGGAAACGGAGTAGCCCTCAAATTCTTTGGCTATATGGATGCCATCACATCAGAAATACGCCAAAGGATTTGCGATTGGTTCCATGTGTGACATGGACATTTTCTTCAAATAATTTTTTTCTTTAATTATTTTTTAATCAAGTAATATTCTCCTTCATGGTGATTAGAGAAGCATCAGGACTGTAGTCAGGTTCATAATTAGTTTCAGAACTTCAGATGGATAAAGTTTGTAGTTTTTGTACGAATATCATTGTAAGATATGGCTCATGTATTTTTCTTGATAAGATTTTGTTGTTTTTTTATGGGATTAATTTCCATTGTTACCTTTTATACTATTTCTGGCCTTTTATATTATGGTTTTATATATTTTGAAAGTTGTTTATATGATAAAATAAGAAAGCAAAAGAATACTTTAGCATATGATATTTTCCTCAAGCTATTTTGTTTTTTCCTCTGTTGTTTTGCTATTTTTGTAATGTTTTCATTTTTTTTCTCAGCTGTTCTTGGGTGTCCCCAAGTTTGTTGGTTCTCTTTATTTCAACTTGAAAGGGGTTGAAACTCAGTCTTTGCACGTATGTGCTTGATCAGAATTTCAGTATTCAAATTGTAGAGATGAAGGGATTTGGGCTTTTTGTTGTTGGCTAACATCGTCTCCTTGAATTAAACAAATGTGAATTAGAAGCAAATTTGCCTTTTGATTGAACATTGTGTTTGTAGTGAGTGAGCCGTGGTACTATGGCAAGGTTGTTCCTATGTATGTGGCTGAACAAGGTGCAAGTTATGGAAACAACCTCTTAATCTGTAGCGGCTAAAGATTGTATAGTGATAAGAATGTGTGCATTGATGTGTCTTGTACATTGATGTGTCTTGTACACTAGTTTCGTGCTCATTAACATTGCATTGTAAGAGATTTTCCTCATATGTTGCTTCTTTTTATTGGAATAACCATCATGTTTTGAAGAGAAACCATCTTAGGAATAACAATATTAGCGTTTATTGTAATTATATTGCATATATCAATCATATGCAAATCTATTAAGCAGTAGTAAAACATTGATGACCCCTGAGGTAGTAAAACAAAGCTTAAATGTGCATTTGATCATTTGCCATTGGGGAATTAGCTCTATGTATCTGTTCTAGAAAGCTACATTTTTCCATACCAGTTCTTATGTTGTTTCCTTGTTCATTTGATAGTTATTCCAAACTTTTTAGTGTCAACATTTAAAATGACAATCATTTCTCAAATTCTGGGTGCTAATTCTCTGATTAATTGTTTCTTCTACCTGTATGTTACACATTCTTGATTTTGTTTATCAGCCAATAGTGAATGCTGCATGAAGTGTTTTTGGTAGTGGCTTGTTTTGTTTAAAAATATGAGTATTTGATGTTACTTGTCTGATACATTTATTATTTTTCCTTTTCTATTTCACTAGAAAATGGTGAATGGTGGGAGAGTGAACAACTGGACATGTATCAACTTTTCACGAAATGTTTATGAAAATGTTGCTCATGGATTCTGTCACGAGCTTGCCAAGATGTGCCAGATATCTGGAATGGTATATCTTACTGCTTCTTGTCTCAATGGTTTGCGTATTTATTTTTAAAGGAACTTCTTTCTGCAATTGTTTCTGGTATTAAGTCAAAAATTTATTAATTAAGAACACCCTGATTCGAGTACTTGCAGGAATTTGCTCTAGAACCTGTGCTTCCTCCACTTAGTGCACGGCCCGATCAAGTGGAAAGAGCTCTAAAGTCATGCTATCATGATGCAATGAACATACTCCAACCTCTTGGCAAGGAACTTGATTTGCTCATTGTGATATTGCCTGATAATAATGGTCCACTCTATGGTAAGCTTGACTGCACTTGAGTTATGTCATCTTTACAAATGCTGCATGGTTGTCGGTTCTGTTCATATGCTAAGCTGTCTCACTGTTTTTATGACAGGTGATCTGAAAAGGATATGTGAGACAGATCTTGGATTAGTTTCACAGTGCTGTTTGACTAAGCATGTTTTTAAGAAGAATAAGCAGTATCTTGCCAATGTGGCTCTGAAGATAAATGTGAAGGTGATCTTTTGGTTGTTTGCATTCTCTATAAGAACGAAAAGAGAATACTGCTTTAGCAATTTCTATCTTCTGCTGTTGTTATCTTCTGAGCTTGACAAAATTGCCTTCATGGGACAGGTTGGAGGTAGAAACACTGTCCTGATGGATGCTTTGTCAAGGCGTATACCTCTTGTTAGTGATAGACCTACCATTATATTTGGTGCTGATGTAACCCATCCTCATCCTGGAGAGGATTCAAGTCCATCTATTGCAGCTGTAAGATAGTCTGTCTGTTTCTACATCTTGCTTTATACTTTATGATTTGATATTCTGCAGATGCTTATTCTTTGTTACTGTTTGTTCTTCAGGTTGTTGCTTCTCAAGATTGGCCTGAGATAACAAAGTATGCTGGTTTGGTAAGTGCTCAGGCCCATCGTCAAGAGTTGATCCAAGATCTGTTTAAAGTCTGGCAAGATCCTCATCGGGGAACCATCACTGGTGGCATGATTAAGTATGCATGCCCATGTTGATCTATGTTTTTTTCTTAATCAGAAATTTGTGATCTATCTGTTTGCTTTTATTTTCCTGCCGTGGAACTTACCTGACACTCTTACCTTTCCAGGGATCTTCTCATTTCGTTTAAAAGATCTACTGGAATAAAGCCACAGCGAATTATATTTTACAGGTATTACTAGAAAGCTTCATATGGTTGATCCTCTTTTAGTTTCTAATTGTCATGTTTGCAGGGATGGAGTTAGTGAGGGGCAATTTTATCAAGTTTTACTTTATGAACTAGATGCCATCAGGAAGGTACATCATTTGTCTTTAAAGAACCCTCACGAAAATTGAGATTATTTTTCTTGTCATATATCATCAGGCATACAAGGCATTTGGGGAGGAAAAAACAGGCATATCTAATCTATGGGGTGGTTGTGTGTTCTGACGGTTTCATGGTTTTCCGTGAGTATTCTCCAGGCTTGTGCTTCATTGGAACCAAACTATCAACCACCAGTAACTTTTGTGGTGGTTCAAAAGCGTCACCACACCAGGCTCTTTGCCAATAACTATAATGATCAGCGCTCTATTGATAAGAGCGGAAATATTTTGCCTGGTGAGTTTCGCAGACCACCTGCGAGACACTTGGTCCCTGCATATTATCTTTGCAAATTCTTCTAGCTGTGTATTATCTTTGCATCATATGTTTTATTGTTTTAGAATAATAGAAACTCAGATTGACATGTCAGTGCGGTGTCTGGAATTCTAGGTACTGTTGTTGATTCTAAGATCTGCCATCCAACAGAGTTTGACTTCTATTTGTGCAGTCATGCTGGGATCCAAGTAAACACTATTTTCTTGTTGGTTACTTATCGACCATTTTCTAGCTTATATTCTGTAATTGATGTTAACTGAGTTATATTTCACATGAAGGGTACAAGCCGACCGGCTCATTACCATGTCTTATGGGATGAAAACAAATTCACGGCAGATGCTTTACAAACCCTAACCAACAACCTCTGTTACACGTAAGATTTTTCTTTTCCTCTATTTGATGCCCGCTTATTATACTCTCACTGAACGATCCTTTCTCTACTTAATGCCCCTTCTTATGCTGTCACTGAGCTATCTTTTTGATACGTTGCAGCTATGCAAGATGCACACGATCTGTATCGATTGGTAGGCTAAGTGTACATGATCTTAAATATAACATTCTTTGAATTTACTGCTTACCATGACTGATTGTTTTCGGTTTTGGCAGTGCCACCTGCATATTACGCTCATCTGGCTGCCTTCCGAGCCCGATTCTATATGGAACCAGAGACATCAGATAGTGGCTCCAGGGCTAGTGGACCAGCAGGGCGTGGATCTCTGGCCAGCGGACCAAGGAGTAGTACGAGGGTCCATGGCAGTGGAAGTGTTAGACCCCTACCTGCTTTGAAAGATAACGTGAAGAAGGTCATGTTCTACTGTTAAACCATGTAAGCCCCCCAGTGAAGTTTGCTATTTTATACAGGGTAACTCTTGTTCTTGGAGATGGCATCTACACTATCATTATTCAATAGCCTTATCTGATTGTTTGTTCACGTTTATTTGAGGTTGTGTTTTCATTTTGTGGTAGCATTTGAGGCTACAACCTGTAACATTTTATTTATGGCCATCATCTGTTTCAGGACGTGTATTTCTTCACAAAAAATATGATGTCTCTCTTGTTTGTTATACTGTCTTAGCTCGTAAACCCCAATTCCTAAACCATATATATTGTTAGGGTACATGGAAAAAACTAGCAAGTAATCTACTCAAAAATCTAGTATCAGCTATAATCTTAGAGTTGCTTGCAATGAGTAAAAGACAATTGCAAGAGCTAATTATATATTATCTCATGTGATTAATTACTTTAGCGTTTTGATCTTTACATTCTAAAGAGTTGTATTGACATCCCTATGATTATGAACATGAAGCATCTACTCTAATGGTGCTAATTTTATCGATGAAAACATAAAAATAAAAATATCAATGAAAACATAAAAATAAAAATAGAAGGTAAAAAGATAAAAAAATAGAAGGTAAAAAAATAGAAGGTGATGGATGGAGGGTCTTATTGGCATGGACATCGACATAGTTACCTAGCTGTCTTCGATGAAGATAAGGTTCACACTTACTATGACGTCACCCGCCTTCACGAGGAGCGCACCATCAATCTCATTGTCGCTCTACATCAACGTCGACGCAAATGGTGGTGGTCACCGCAACATTTACAACGAAGATAGCGGTCATCTCACCGTTGACCCGTTGAGCAAATCCCAACCTCAACCCCTCCTCCTTTACATCTACGTCGATGTTGATGCAATTACCACGGAACGAAAGGGCCGCTCGACATCTACATCAACGCTGACATAGATGCCAAGTGATCCTTTTGTCGCTCGACAATTGTGTCAACACATATACAAAGGGAGAGACATCGAGGTTGAGATCTATCTGATGAGTCAGTGGCGAGGCGACATTTTTACTGTAATCGTCGCAACGACCACCACCATCTATGTTGAGATAATTATCATTTTTATAACTATAAATATGTCAATATAATTTTTTAAAACATAAAGATTGAGATACTAAATGCAACTAACCATGGGCAATACGTAATTAGCCCCACAAACAGCATAGAGTATTTAGGAACTTTATAATAATGTACATAGCTGTGAGTCACTCGGAAACTGCAACAAGCGTACATAGACACAAGTCTTCACAGAGACAAAGGAAAAAGGTGACAAGTAGTACATGAGACACAAGTCTTCACAGAGACAAAAAACGCAACCTTGTAGGATTCTGTTGACAGGATAATCCTGATGAAGAACTCGAGTGAGTGTCGGAGGTTGAACTGCGCCGACAAGCTCCACACACATTCCTGCTTTAGAAGGAGACTTTTATACCAAGCAAAGCCATAAGCTGAGAGATGAACTCGGGGTGCCCAGGCCAAGCAGCACCAGTGACTAAGTTGCCGTCGGTAAAGCATCGGTCAATCGGGTCTGGTTCCAACCATGTGGCTCCTCCCAGTACCACATTCAGCTTCACAGCCGGGTATGCTGTGCATTTCTTCCCCTACAGGATAAAATGCACAATATGTTTTAATTATTTAAAGTCTTATAATAAAAGATCACGAAACGGACAACAGAATCACAAGTGAAACACCTGGAAAGTTAATAGTTTAAAGAACTTGAAATCGCCTCAGCAGGCAGATCAACATGCTTAATATAACCAACAATGACCAGCCATGCTACTTGGCAAGCAGGCTGTCAGATATGTCCTATTACATATTGCCAACAATGGTGGATGCTTTGTCCATGCATTAAGTTGAGCCTATGAATGTGAGAAGACATAATGCAGCTTATGATAATAAAATATCCGCCATCATCAGTAAGCTCCAAAAGAAGGTGCAGAATCTGCGTCATTGATCCTTTCTCAAGCTTTATACTGAATCTTCTACAAGCACAGAGACACGAACTCATTAAAGAAACATGTCCAGTAATCTGCTTAAAAAACTCCCTGGTTCTTTTGCCAGCAAGTTCACATTAGATAATCGCTCGTTGGATACTTTATTAGCCACTTATAAGTCATCTAGTGAAGTGAAGGCAACCACCGTGGAACCAACCTCACAATTAAAATCATTCACATTAGGCCATCATATCTATGGGAGCCTGCACCTGCATTTGCCACAAAAGTGCGCCACCACTTCTTGCATAATATGGGCACTTCAAAATGTCTGAACTGACAGTCATCAGTTACTTCACACGACACATTAGGTCCTTCAAAGAAGACTACAGGCTATATTTTAGATCACCCCTCCCTTCCCTATGGTATTCTTTGAGGGCTTTTCTTTTCAAATCAGAGCTAGCCTAGATCAAAGGATAGTTTCCTACAAGGTTTGTAATTTCGTACCGTACCGGAGTATCGAGTTCAGCACGGTACGGTACGAGTATATCGAGCGGTACATTAGAGCGTACCGCTCAATATATAAATAAATAAATATATATATAGTTAAAAAATAAAAAAGGGTCGACGTCGCGTCGTTTCTTCTCCCCGCGTGGGGAGAAGAAAACTTTGAAGCCTCGGCGACGTCGCTAAGGTTTCTTCGCGGGAAGTTCCTTCTCCCCGCGAAGCCTCGATGACGTCGCCAAGGTTTCTTCTCCCCAACTGAGGCTTCTTCTCCCCGCACGGATTAGGAGAAGTCGCCGATGATGCCGAGGCCTCATCGCCTCAGACGAGGAGAAGGCGACATCTCATATGTGGCGTTCGGTGAGGGAGGGCTGCGACGAATCGGGATCATTGAAGGAGAGCAACGTCGAATCTCTAGGTTCTCCCTTTTCTTCTCCCTCTTCTTCCTTCTCCCTCGGCTAATACCGCCCGGTAGCGGGCGATGACAATCGAAATCGACCATCACCGATCGATTTTGGGTGGTAACGGAGCGAAAACAGCCCCAATCAACGACGTCGCCCAGTAGCAGGTGGTCTGCATACCGATCTGTTGGCGGACCAGTCCGTATTGCCCGGTACGAACGATATCATTCGAAATTAAAAACCCTAATTTCCTATTGTACTTAAATTTATGAAGTTCTTGGCCGCACTTCTTGCTTCCCGCAAGAGAACATTGCTAATCATGAGGCATGGACGGATGATTTCTCAATATAGAGACATGGAAAGTGAAACATGATAAATGAACAAATGTGATGGATGAAGTTCCATATATAGAAGGAGAAAAATTAAAAGACAACTAAGAAAATTGAACTTGTTGCAATGAAATTGGAAATGAGGATGATGTATGGACTTTGAACTTTGAAGCATAACAATAAAATTTTGAATTTTAGAACAGTAACTGATTCTTGTTGAATGCACTATGCCATTTATATATATATATATATATATATATCCTATCTAACGTCATCTGCCAAAGTGGAAAGCCCAAGCATGTCGGGTATCCGCTTGACAATGATACTGGGACTTAGCATAATATGAACTTGATGTAAGATATGGTCTTGACTAACTTCTATCACAGAGTTCAAACAAAAAAGAAAATGGTCAAGTTAGCCGCAACAACATTCGTTCATAATTTTGCAAAGTTCAACAGTCACAATTTGATTAACTAACTTTGACTTTAAGGCCAAGAGAGCAAAGTCATAATGCTCAGAAACTCGGTCAATCCTAAATTCTAATGATGCATACCTCAAGAATATCAAGTTAGACAAAACATCTACCCAAATAATCTACATTTACTTATAAGAAAATAGAATAAGGTGAGATAAGAGTTATCCTGATTGTATTTGCCGAAACAAAATGGAAAATCTATTCTATCGGACAAATTTCAGACAAAACTCAACATAATCCTTGGAAGCTTGCATAATTCCTTGAGTTGTCTTGTAGTCCTTACGTGGCAACTACGGTATACAAAGCTGGATGGTTTTCAGTAGAGGTTTGTTGCTCTTTTGTCGCTACATGGTGCTATTTGCAGGTGAAATTATATGTTCTTCACTAGAAACCTAAGCTACAGGTTACCAAGTAACTTATCATACAGTAGAGGTGATAAGACCACGTTACTGAAAAAGAAACTAATAGAAATTACCTTCAAAACCCCAGCAGCAGACAATATCTGTTGGCCATGGCAAATTGATGCAACAGGCTTTCCTCCATTCATAAACTTCTTCACCAAAGTAATAACTTCCTCATCTAATGCAAGATATTCGGGTGCTCGCCCACCAGGTATCACTAGGGCATCATAGATAGAAGCATCCAAGCCTTCAAATGATGCTGTCAAGGTGAAATCATGTCCAGGCTTTTCACTATAAGTTTGATCACCCTCAAAGTCATGGATGGCGGTTGGACACTTTTCACCAGCACCTTTCTTTGGGCAGACTGCATCAACGTGACAACCAAGAGCTTGCAGTGACTGAAATGGAACCATAACCTCATAATCCTCCATGTAATCCTGTGAAACATTACATAGGAATAAACAAGGAATTAATTTACATTGACAAGCAAAATAATAACTGTTTGATGGATTTGCAAGTTCATTTGTGAAAAATAAGCCAAAGCACCTGGTTCAGTTCTTTTTAATTCTTTGCATTCAAAAGAAAGATAAGTTATTTCTGCTTCTGAAAGCATTATTGTCCCGTGAAAAAGGGACATTTTCAAACTTCCAGCTCATAAGGAGGTCGAATTTGTACATCAATGATGGATTAGTGAATGTTTATTGTAGATCAAGACAACACAGGGTCAAGTTATTGTTACATGAAACTGCTAGGTAATTATAGAATCAACATCCGTATGCAATAAAACATAATTAGCATATCCACTACTTTTATAGAATCAAGCTTCCCCGTCTATAAAAATATGACCGAGGGAACATCAAAAGTCCTAGCTCGGAAAGACTCCTTCCTAGATCCTAGGAGTAAAAAAAAAAAAGCAATACCTAAACTGAAAGTTTCAATTTTCACCTTCATGTCCTGTCCTATTGATATGTCAAGATGGCAGAAACAGTGGCATAAGGTATATCTGGACCAGAATAAGCTAATATCCACTGAGATAGAAGAATTTAAAGAGAACCTTTTTTATATTCTTCTATTATTAATTTGAAGTACTTCAATACCATCAATGACAGTACAGGTTTCATATAATTTTCACAATTATCTTCTTCCTTGTCATAATATATATTTCTGTGTCAATGATAGGACAGGTGTCGAGAGAAAGAAACCCTGATGTCCCAACTATTTAGGTTGGGCCACGCAGATCTTTTCTCACTAATCCTGTTTATGGCAATAAATGCACTTGAGCTAGCCAAATATAATGACTTGCAAATCTATGATTAAATGAAAAAAAATACCAGGTATTTATATCACCATAGTAGCTTATATGTACAGCATTTACCTTTTTGCCATCGATGATGTGGTTCTCAACAGTAACATAATCATCATTCTTTTCTCTTACAGGAAAGATTATACATGCTAACAATTGACTATTATATCCTATGTGAAAATGATATTATCTGGTTAAGAAAGCACTTTGTTGCATACACAGCATGCCAACGATGCTACACAGCAGAAGATATTAGTAAAGAAAATAAGGATACTTTGTTGCATACATACCCCACAAATAAACAGAATTCGCTTATCTGAGCCTGTAATAGAACCTCCTAGTGCTTCAACAAAAAGGCGGATAAACTCAGGATGGCTATCATATGTTGCTCCTGTAATAAGATTACCATCAGAGACACATTTTGACATCGTCTCTGGTTCTATCCAGTGAGCTCCAGCAGCAATCAAGGCAGGCTTCACAGGGGGATAGGCTGTGCATTTCCGGTCTTTAACCAAATTTGCAGCTGCCAATATCAACTGACCATGGCAAACTGATGCAATTGGCTTGGCTGAATCAGAAAACTTTTTAACTAACTCCACAACTGACTCATTCATCGCAAGATATTCCGGTGCCCGACCTCCAGGAATAACTAATCCATCATATTTGCTCACTTCAATCTCACCAAATGATGCATTAAGCATGAAATTGTGACCTCTTGATTCAGAATATGTCTGCAACAATGGGATTGTTTCATATAAGAAAGAAAAAAATAAACCTTCATGCAACAAGTTAAACATGTGACCACTAAGAAAGGGAAAGATGAATCTATCGAACAAATTCCATCTTCTTGTGAGGTTATTTTTGTCCTCTCGGTGTGCAGTGCTAACAGAAACATGTGGATTCAAACAAAGTGAAAAAACCATGAGGTGCCTTGACATCGTTACACTGCTTCTCTGATGACTGAGAAGAGATACTCTTTATCCAAGAAACATTTATTTGGATCATTATAAATATGCAATGGTATTCGGTAGTCATTCTTTCCTCAATGTAAATTAAGGACTAGAAATGGAATAAATTTTGACAAAAAAAAAAAAAGATGGTGCATGTCAAATGTCATCATTTTAACACTCATATCAGTGGATTTCTCATGTTGAAACAACTATGAGTTTTCAAGAAAACAGATGGTCCGCAAACCCTTATGTTCATTTGCAAATGGAACTAGCATAATGCGTAGGAGCTTTGAGATGTCGATTTACCTCCGTTAACTAGACTTGGCAATCAGTTCACGTCAAAATGACATTAAGCTTACAAGAGAAAACTAAAAATTACTGATGATTTAAATCATTATGGATATTTCCTTACAACTCTTAATATTTCCTGATCATCATAAAAAGGGCAAACCAAATAGAACTACAATAGCAAACTCTCGACTCTCTCGTCCACTATGCTTAAGTCTTCTGCCTCCCAAGCAATCTATAATTCGAGAGAAACGTATGGCCAACTTTTGGTTGATGGAAAATGGTCAGATGACATAAACCAAGCGACGCACCCGTGGATGGAAAACCGATTTCGGCGGGAATTTCCATAATTACGCATCACCAGCTCAAAAATTTAAAGATCGATGTTCCTGATCAGATTTTCTTGAACTAATTTCATCAATCACTTACAAGGTTCTCTTAAGGTGTTCCCAGATGAACTACCTGGTGACCGGAAACCTGATGGACGGCGGTGCGGCACACGTCGCCGGCCTTCTTTCCGGGGCAAGCCGCGTCGACAGCGACGCCATACGCTTGAAGCGCTTGAAACGGCACCATAACCTGCGGGAATCGTCATGCAATTACGATCGATTTCTAAACTAAAGATTCACTTCAGTATCAGAATCGAAGAGAGCATCGAGAGGAAAGCCGATGGCAGGTTTATCACGGCGATTGTTCAGGAAGAGAGCATCGAGAGGAAAGCCGATGGCAGGTTTATCACGGCGATTGTTCAGGAAGAGAGCACCTCGTAGTCCTCCGCATAGTCGCCGCACAGTAGCAGAACCTTCTTCGCCATTTCTCCTCCTCCTCCTCCTCCTCGCCTCTTCTTCGCCGCAAGAGACAGAGAGCTACTCCCACGATGCCGATGAAGGGGAGAAACGGCCCGGAGGGGTCCGTCTATTTTATGAGGTGGAGAGCTTTAGCGTAGGAACCAAGATCCGGGTACGTGTCGTGTTATGAGAAGTCTATGTCACGTACCTGTATAAGACGAGCAGCAGCTGATCCTATTGCCTTTTGTGCTGGAACCGCTCGGGAGGTTTCCTTAGCGCTACGTGGAGCGTTCGCTGCTGTGGGTGAGATGAGAAACTTTGGAGCATTTCGCGGGTGACATTTGACGGCTGAGATCGTCCAATCTTTCAGTGAAAAGACAAGGAGCCTTTTTATTTATCAGTCCTCTTACATTTAAAAATATAGTATTTAATCGTCCAATTTTAATAAGTTCCCCCGAAATCCATTTTAGTTATGATTAATATCTGTTGGTTACAATCAAGAAGCATACAAAAATTTAAGATATTAAATATCAATGAAAATTTCAATTAAAATCAAATGAGGGTTAGTTGAGGGATGAAAAAGATTCGCAGAAAGATATATCTAATCAAAATTTAAAAGGGTAAATATGACATTTACTGACTTTGGAGGAATATATTTGAAATTCTGCAGAAGTAATGCGGGATTGAAGGAAAACATGGGACCTACGAAACGGGTCCGCTTTCGCGGGTAGGTCCTGCGGGTAAAGATGCAGACGTGAAATTCACAATGCGAAAATAGTCGGTGAAAGGAGATGCGCGAGATATAAAAGTATGCGATGGAGAACCAGAGATATAAGTAAAATACACTGACAGGGAATCGCCAACAAAGAGATCAAGCATCGGTGGTGGAGCTCATTCAATAGCTTCACCGTATAATAACAATTAGATATATCCTTAATGCCTCATGTCGTGCCTGACTGACATGACGCACATCCAAAGGAAACCAGGTGTTGACAAAGTTTAATCTCTATTTTTTGAAGGTTAATAACAAGATTAATATTCATTATATGCTTATTAAACATCATATGAATATTATTTAAGGTTCGAATAAAAAAAACATTTTTCAGTTTTTTTCTTGCGTTGTACGTTTTTGACGTTGGCTTTGACTATGCCAAAGCAGTTCAAATTGTTCCAAAATTATGTTAAGTCCTAATTGGCTCCCAAATTTATCAAATGCAAGTTATATAAGAATGTTTTAGACCAAAAGAAAAGAAAGTTGATTCGTTTATATCAGTTTGGCTGTTTTTAACGGAATACAATGTTTTTCACCATAATTATCACTAAATGCTTATGTAAACATCACAGATACACATTATATTGAGATTTATAATAAAACTTAAACTATGTCAAAAGAAACAAGACTCTTCCAATATCATATTTAATTCTGATTAGAAAAGGATTTCTGAATAAACTAACCTATAAGAATTGATATATTAATTTATCATCTAAATCAAGGTCAAATGGACCACAGAAATGGCAAAAAACTCAACTGTAGAGCGCCAAAGGGGCAAAGCAGACAACGTTGAGTGGAAGTTGAAACGAGATACATGACCAAACATTCAACTTGAGTAGAGGGATGTAAATGCCATACCTCGAGCACATTTGATTTGCCCAAGCTCTGGTCGAACAGCTCTCCAGATGAATCCTGCACTTTGTTCCAACTACAGACGGTATGTGAATACTCTCTCTTTATATTATAATGTTCATTGCACTATAATTTTGATCATGGGTTCTAAATACCAGACGATATAAATCGGTTTGATCACAGTGTCCAATCCGGTTTGACATCATGCGTCTCACTCACTGCCATACAGAACCAGTATGGAAATTTAAAATCATGATTTTGATATTGTAAAACAGAACAAAGAAATTGCAGAGATAATTACTGACAAACACACCCATATTATATTTGCAGTAGCATGACAACATAATTGACACATATGGGGATTTCAAACTAAAATCTGAAAAGAAGAATTTTATGCACACAATGAATACCTGATTCTTAGGTGAGTATACAGAGTGGATAAAAATTCAAGAGACACTAACAACATTGTCAGATAAATATCAAATTACTGGATTTCTTTAATTCATAAGTGAAACATATTACATGCTTTCACATTCATGCAAAATAAGCATTTTGACTTAGATGAGAAGCTAAGATAGCAAACTTACCAAAGGTAACTCAATGAATTATCTGCATGTGTATTGCTTTGATCATCTGCAACAATAAACAATACTGAAGCAAAGTAATACTGAGATAATTAAGGGATCTTGCATAAGTATTCTGAGATAGTTGAGTTCACAGGTAGAAGTAGACTATATTAACCACAGACTATTAGCAGAGTTCAAGATTGTGTATGCACAATGAAATGAAACTTAATGGATCATTGCTACAGAGTTGAGATTCTATGCAGACCTTGATAATATTCCCAATGATCAACAGCCTCTCAGGAGCAAATTGCAAGCGCATGACAAACCCTGATAGTTGCAGCTTTTCCGGACCCCTTGTTGTAGATTAGAATGATGGAACATTAACTTTGCAAAACAATCTATGTTTCTTACGGGGAACTCAAAATGGATAAAGGCACATAATTCCTGGATCAGTAGAGTGGGTGGTATTGAGTAATCTTCCGCTTAGGTGGCAGTTTTCTTAGAATGAAAAGGACTAGGGATGAAGGAATAATTTCAGCAAGCTGCAAAAATTTCAAAAAAAAATCAATAGATCAGTGGTCCCTGTTATTGTCATATCTGAATAAATGTCATAAGCAAACATAAAAGAAGAAAAGAAAACAGAGTGATCTGGAGCTACTCTGATGACAATAGATTATCACTAGAACAAATATAAACATTTAGATCCAAACCCAATTGCATAAGTCTACACATTTGGTGAAGTTAGACACAAGAACCTCTCCGCAAGTCTATGACAATTTTCACTAGGGATAAAACACAATTAATCAGTTCAAATACCTGGTTAGCAAAAACATTAGTCAAAAGATAAATTTATCTATCATCTGAGACCACATTTCAAGAGCATTTGAACAGCCCATGAAATTGATGTCTATCATCACACAATTGTCATCAGTGGAAAGATCAACCTCGCCAGAAGTAGAGGAACAAGACACTTGAGAAAGAACTGTTTTGACTGACCAATCAACTAGTGTTTGCAATGAAAACTTCAAACTACCTCTCCTCAAAAATGAAAGATCAAATAGTAACTTATCTATGCTGTTTGACTGAAATTTCTTTCTTGATTGTAATAATCAGAAGGAATAATCAAACATGCTGTATAAGAACTAGTTTGTACATACCACATGTAAAACAAAAAGACCCTGCATGCTTCCAAGGTAATCATCTAGTTTGTAAATTAATGGGATTAGAACTAAGATCATTAAAGTGTTATAGAATTATCTTAACATAAAAGCTCTATATAGCCAAATAAAACTTCTTCTATGTGGCAATTACATTTAATCTTCTATATATACAGAAGACAAGTCTTTGTATTTGCAACAGAATAATGATAATTCCTAAGTTCATACTCATTTGCTCTTGGATGAAATCAGTCACCTAATTTCATTATTAGGCCATAATATTTTAATAATTTGTTTATCAAATCAGATAACTATTCGTAACATTAAAACTAAGTTTGGTGCTGATTTGGCTCTGGTGCTCAGCAATCACATCACAGAAACCAAGTGTACAAGCTTTAGCACCAGATATTCTCAAATACCAACTTTACTCCATTATGAGGCATAACAACATAGAAAGAAGACAGTGAAAACCAGCATAGTCCTTCAGAAATGCTTGGCGTATAATAAAACTTAAGAGGATGTGCATAGTTATATCACATATGAAGTAATAGAACATACTGTAATATTATATCATTTCCCTACAAATGAACTAACTGCATTGACCATGTTCAAGACCATATAAATTTGAGCCATACCAAGTAGAATATGAAGTTCAGAATTGGATGGTTTAGAACATCAATGTCTGCAGCCTTATCAAAGGCATTGAACCACACCTGTGAAGCATTGATTAGAATATTAAACTTATATGCCAAGCATATCAAAACCTCTAATTCTGATAACAAATAAGGTACAATATTCACACTTACCATAATACATCGTGACATGAAACATAAGAAACAGACAGTGGTAACATAGCCAACCTGCATAAGCACCAAGTCGATAATGCATTAAGAGCCAAGGGCTCCCAATGAAGAATATTACACGTTCCAAATATACCTCTTGTAACATTTTCCGTCGCCCTTTTGATTCAACAGGGAAGAGTTTCAGCATGAAGAAGAGCCTAAAAGGGACAAAATATTACTCAATTAAGTCCCATAACATATTAGTATGTGCCTCAAGAAACATGTATTAGTTATCAGCCTCATCATACACACTAGCTTAGTTATCCCCATCTGTTAATGTTCGTTTGACTTGGTACTTCAATAGCTATACTGAATATTTAAAAGCAAAAAAAAAAAATCCTTACTGACAAACTAGTGGATAAGTTCAAATTATCAGGGGCATATGGATTTTCAGCCTTCTGTGTTCAGTATTAGATGTTAGTTTAAATATTTACTTCAAGCTTCACATATATAACATGCTTTGAAGTTCTCAAATGTATAACTCAGGCATGAACATGCAGTTAGATGAGAGAGAGATTTTTGAAATGCCAAAGTCTGCTGCCTCACATGCTTCTTGAATATTAAATGAGCTAAAATATTTGAGCTCAATTAACTAGAGTTAACAATCTTTTCAAAAGCATAAGCCACAGATTTTCATCGAGACTTCGTAAACAGTTCCTAATAAGCACCTTCTTCAGAAATACAAGTTGATAATGTTTAATTTTCATAAAGGCAATAGATCAAAAATAAAATTTCAGAAAGAACACAAATTAAAAAAATATCACATATTTAAAATGGTAATCCAACCAAAATTCCAGTGTAAAAAGCATATAGCATTGCTGACATAATGTGCATTTTATGGTTTCCAAGGATGTAATTAAACAAATTCAGAAAAATAAAAGTACATAAAATGGTTCATGATAACAAGTCTTTAGAATATTAGAATTTTGACTGGATATAGCTTCTATTCACATACAGACTGCATTTTGAACATTAGTGAAGACATGCAAGTTAAAATCCTACTCAGGATAAATGATATACAAAGAATAACAGGTGCAGGTTCAAACTAAGTGGAAAGATATATGTACATAAACACATATCAGTGGCTCACCTCCCTCCATATAAAAGAAATCCAATGGCAGCAAACAAAGAAACACCTGTAAAAATATATAAATATATAGTTCATTTCATCTAATTCATAAACAACAAAATAAAATCCATATATTCGGTGATAAAACCTGCAAAGAAGATCTTGGATAGGATAACTATCGCTTGGATGGGCTTACACCATAAGAGCAACCAAAGTGCAAAGTGTAGAAATGTAAAATAAGATATGACTACAAAGAATTCATTCTAGCCTCTTAGACCCATCTAACAAGAACTTTATCATCTTCCATGAGAACAAGTTCAAAAGTTAGAAAAAAAATTTTACTTGGCGGCAAAAAAGGGACAAAAGCCTGATAAAATTTGCATTTTTAATTCAAAAAATGAATCTTGAAAAGAAAACTAATTATGCATACTAAAAGATGGGATTCACAAAACCTTGTTACAATTACGTAGCACTTCCGTTACAGGTAGTACAACAACTTCCTATGACGTTTTACAAATAATATGTAATAAATTGAGAAAGAATTACCATATGGTGCTAAAATTTGCATAAGATATATGTTCATATTAATGCACAAAAAATGATGAATGATGAGGGTAACTAAAAGTGAATGCTAACATGGAAGTTTTGCTATCCAGTGTTGTTAATTTCAGGGCCCGAACTGGTATGGGTCTGGCTAGTACTATATACCTTGTATCAGTGCTGGTATATACTAACTTTCAGAAGTCTGAAAAAGAAAACTTTCTAATCCTATTTTGGGATTCTTCTTGGCATGTACAATTAAACTACAAAGTTAGATCATTTAACATAAATCAACCAAAATTTAGATATTACATCAAGCTCTAAATTAGATCTAATCTTTGAAATTTAACCTAGGCATGCAAGAATAAACATAAACCTAAACTTAATTGCATGATATTAACTTACAAATAAGGCTTGGATTCACCTTGATGTGAAGGGAAAATGGTCTAGATCTTGAGTTAATCTTCTTCTCATGGAAATCAAACTCCCCTAATGATCTTCAATGAATTTGGAAGGGATTTAAGACAGAATTAAGTGAGTCTAAGAGAGACTAGAAAGAAAATGAGAGAGAGAGAGAGGGGGGGGGGAGGAGAATGGGGCTTGTGGGGGTAGTTTACAGCCCCCCACAGTCGCTCCCAACGACTAGTTGAGTAGCTGCACCTGAAAGGTAGCGTTATAGCCTGGTGCAAGGGTTGTATTGGCCTTGTACAGTAGGTGAATGTCAAATTGATAGCTGGTCACAAGACTCTATTGAATCTTATTATAGACTTATTTAACTCTGAAATATTGCACTCTAGATGGCCACATGGTAGCGGAAAGAAAACTTGAAAAAGAATGATAATACATCTACATCATATATTAGCTTAACCAAGAACGAATTAGTCACACACAACATACTTGTTGCACATATCTAATTTTGAGGAAACAAAATTTCATTTGCAAATCATCTTATACAGATTAGTTTTCCAAAAACTGAAAAAGCCAGTAGAAATCATTCTTTCACATTCTGAACACCAGCTAATAATTTCAAAAACAGCTGAGTGCAGAATAATTGTTGGAAGTTCAACTTGTAATAAGATAAAAGAGGATTGACACAAGAATGATACTTATGCTACTTGTCCAACATACAATTAACCATGTCATTACCTGGATAGCATAAACCATTGCATTAATTGTATAGAAACATGGTATAAGGCCATCAGTAGATATCAAATGTGTCTGCATGACATTCCATTTTGGTGAAAATAAACTGGCTGAACATTCATATGAACCATGACCAAAATAAAACAACACAGAAAAGCTAAAAATAAATATGGTAATATATTTCAGCCCAAAACAGTACCAAAAGTGCATAGGTAGTGAAGAATGCAAGATCAGGCAAATCGAGAAGAATATGTTGGGCGATCTGTAAGATAAGCTACCGTAAGAACGACTCAATACCTATGGAGAACAAAAAAATAAGAGAGTCAAACCTCAGGCTTTATTTGTTGGACGCCCCGAAGAAAAATGAAGACAAGTGATCTGACTGCAGAAGATAAGAACCACGTTTGCCAGAAAAAGCAGATGTAAACACCTCTTTGAGTCCTCGTCACATTGTACCAGAGTGCATAACATCAGTAAAGCTAGATCCTTACCTCCATTCACCAGGAAATTCAAGAAATGAAAGACCTGTATCGTCCAACCAAACTCTGGCACTCTGAACTCGGTTCTAACCAATTGTATCTGTGTACTAGATTATTTCAATTAACCAAAGAGTGAAACTAATAGCATACAATAATTCGACGTGCAGCCAGATTTCACGAAGCATCTCGTTACCGATTTGCATTGGTTGTTCAAATTTTATATTAATACCTGAACCAAAGAATCACAACAAAAGTAACATATTATATACATATACCTATCCTATAATTCGCTAAATTTCTCGGCTCCATCATAACCTATACCTATCCCCAAGAATCGTTAGCCAGAGGTACCAAATTCTTGAACCATGCATCTATCATGGACAAACCGATTCCGTGGCAGACGAAAATGATCGTTCATCAGAGAGGAATAAAATAAATCGGATCACGATTTTTGCATATATTGGAAAGGAACATTACGAGAGCGACAGCGGAAACAAGTCCGAAGAGGGCGGCGAGGGCGTGGAAGATGCGGTCCTGCCACAGGGTAGAGTTGTTCACCTCCTCCCACCAATCCAACACGTCTCCCAGCGCGTGCGCCGGCAGCGACGTCGCCATGGAATATTCTCCGCCGGGATCCGAATGTCCCGGCGGTCGCTCCCCGGGTACTCGAGACCCGATAGCGGATTCGAGCGGGGCAGACAGAAGAACGATGACGGAAATTTATAGTTTCGAAAATAAGCGAGAAAAATAGATAAATCCGACGAAAAATCAACAGCCGTCGGATCCGATCACCTCGCCGCAACAGCGGAACATTCTCGACACCCGTCAACATCGAAAGAACGTCTCGAGCCCGTTAGCGGGTCGGGTTTCATTAAGGATTCGTTTTCATCCGACCCGAGCTGCTTAAGTTGGATTATAATTTCTATTAATTGGATTTAGGATATAAAAAAGTAGAAAATGATGAGGGAGATAATTATGATAAGACTCACGTGACATCAGCTGACGCCCCATGTCTCTGTCGGGCTGACAGCACCTGGCAAACACGGGTCAAAACGCCGACCGAGGCCCATTAACGACCCCTCAGGTTCTATCCCTCACGCCACGCCAATAGCAATGTCAGACGCCATCAAAGGTATGATCCTGCCCCATACGGGCAGGCACACCCGGTAACACCAAACTTTCCTATAAATATCCTTGCGTTCTAAACAAGCAAGGGGGAGGAAAGATTAGGAAAAAAGATCATACGACCTTGAACTAACTTGATCATCGAAAGGGTTGGGTCAAGCACCCCGACCTGACCTGTGCGCAGGAACGAAGATGATGCGATTCTCTCCGGACCCACCAGGCAAGGAGCCCCTTCCCGAAGGAAACGACGACCCACCTCCACGATCGAACCGACTGAGCCAGCATCCTCAGCGGTCCCGAGGAACCCTCTTTGAAGATCCCCCGCCATTCGGACCTGAACCGAGCCGCATCGGCCCCGAGGCCACGGCTCAAGGTAATTTACACAAACAGAAAACTAACTCTATAGACTGAATTAGAGATTAAATCAATATCCTGCTTAGTTTGATCTAAAGCTTTACAGTGTCTATTAGTCTGTAGTGAGCTCACCGCCAGTGAAGGTATTCCATCTCTCTCTTTCTCTTCAGTCAATTCTCATCATGGCCAATTTCTTCCAGCCATGCAACTAAGTCACCGGTCGACGGCCTCAGCTTTGGAGAATCACTGACGCAAAGGCATGCAATCTCAAGCATCCTCATTGCCTCTCTGTCATGCTGCTTGCTGCATACGGAAGGATCAAAGACCTCAATCTCCCTCTTCTCGTTCTTCATCTGAAGCACCCATGACACCACGTTCCTGTGGGCTTTTGGTCTGCACATGTCCACCGGCCTCCTTCCGGTGAGCAGCTCCAGGAGAACCACACCGAAGCTGTAGACATCGCCCTTGAAGGTAGCAACAGAGGACTGCCCGTACTCCGGGGGAATGTATCCCAGAGTCCCGACCAGGTCTGTCGTCACATGAGTCTTGTAAGGAAGGATCAGCCTCGCAAGGCCGAAATCTGCTAAATGAGCTTCGAATTCATGGTCGAGGAGGATGTTGCTAGATTTGATGTCGCGGTGTAGTATATGGGGCTCGCAGGATTGGTGCAAGTACGCCAATCCCCTGGCTGCGCCTCGAGCGATCCGAAGTCGTCTTCCCCAGTCCAGCGTTGAGTTGCCTTCATGTAGTTTCTCATGGAGCCAGAAGTCCAAGCTGCCATTCTCCATGTAGGAGTAGATGAGGAGCCTGTCGTTGCCCACCCTGCAGTACCCCTGCAGCGGAACAAGGTTCTCGTGCTGAACTCTGGAGAGGGTTTCCACCTCGGCCTGGAACTCCTTCTCCATCTGACAGTAGTCGCCGGAAAGCCTCTTGATGGCAACCTTTCTTCCGTCCGGCAGAGTTGCTCCGTAGACCAGTGCGAACCCTCCGCAGCCGACGATGTGAGCTTGATCGAAGTTGTCGGTGGATCTCAGGATGTCGTCGATGCTGAGCTCCCGGTTGTCCTTGTTCTGGAACAGCAGCACTAGTCTGCAACCGGCGGGGTCGGAGAATTCATCTGCATGAGCGACCACCTTGGCGTTGTCTTCGCGTCCTCTCGGTCGAGCTCGCAGTAGGATGAAATAAGCAACTACGAGGAGAGAAGCTGTCGCAACTCCGATTCCGATCGCCATGCCTAAGGCAGCACTTCTGCCGTGTCGCCTGCTTCGTGGTGGTGAAGGATTTGCAGAGGAGCAAGGGGAGAAGTGGAAGCCGCACAGGCCTGGATTGCCTTCGAACGCAGAGCTTGAGAAGGTTGAGAATTGCCCTCCTGTTGGGACTGCTCCGGCGAGATTGTTGTATGCCACATCGAAGTTTGACAGGAAGCTCAAGTTGGTCAGAGAAGATGGTATGCTTCCGGTGAGCTTGTTGCGAGACAAATCCAAGGTCTCTAAGTCTGTCATCCCTGACAAATCCTCAGGTATGCTTCCTGAAAGATTGTTCCAGCTCAAATCCAGAACATAGAGATGTGACAGTTCCCCGAATCCAGGCAAGATTGGCCCGACGAGCATGTTATGGCTCAGAACCAAAGATGAAGGAAAGCTGCTGATTTGGTTATACTGCAACCCCTTCCCGGTTGAGTTCTTCTTGATGAAGAAGGGAAAGTTCTCCGAGGAGTTCTGCGAACTGCCCCCGTGCTTGAGGCTCTTCATCCGTGTCAAGCCACTGGGAAGCTCACCAGTGAGCGAATTATTCGACAGGTCCAAGTAGAAGAGGTTGTCGAGGTTCCCGAACCACGGTGGGATCGCGCCGGACAAGTAGTTCCATGATAGGTCCAGAACTTCCAGCTCGGGGGAGTTTGCCAGCCATGGCGGAACTGCGCCTGAAAGAGCGCAGTTTGCGACGACGAGGACCTCCAGCTTCTGAAAGCCTTGGATTCCATCGGCCGGCATCGTCTCGCCCCCACGGAAATTCTTCGTGAGGACTAGGATGGTGAGGTTGGGGCAGTGCTGAAGGATCTGCAAGGCTGAGGATATGTCCGAGAGGCGATTCCCGGTGAGTGAGAGATCGGACAACGGGACGAAGTTCTTGAAGCTGCGGGGAATCTCGCCTGCGAGATCATTCTTGGCGAGATTCACGGTCCTCAGCTGCACGCACTGAGGGAGGTTGTCAGTGATGGTGCCAGAGAAAGCATTGGAGCCGAGATCAAGGAAGCTTAAACTGGTCATTGCCGTGCAATTGAGATCGATCTCGCCGCTGAGGGAGTTGTTGTTCAGATTAAGCACCTTGAGAGATGGCGAGTTCGATAGAGAGGTTGGTAGATCACCGACGAAATGGTTGGAATGAGCCGAGAACGACTCGAGCTTCGGAAGATTGCCGAAGACGTCCGGGATGTAACCCGAGAACTGATTGAGCGAAAGATCGAGGAGGACCAGATTGGAGAGGTTGCCGATACTTGTACTGAGATTGCCGGAGAGCAAGTTTTGCTGAACGGATAGCTGCGTCAACGACGGCATCTCGAACAGCTCGTCGGGCAGGTTTCCGGCGATGCTGTTCTCGCCGAGCGAGAGCTCGACGAGGGAGCTGCAGTTCTTGATGCCTCTCGGGATAGCGCCGGAGAAGCTGTTCATGGCGAGTCGGAGAACCTGGATCTTGGTTGAAGAGTTGCAGATGCCTGCGTCGAAGGCGCCGTGGAACTTGTTGGCGGTGAGGTCGGACAAGGTGAGGTTGGCCGAGCCGGCGAGGATGGGGTGGTGGCCGGTGAAGTAGTTGCAGGAAACGTTGAACACTTGGATCGCCGGAAGGCTCGCGTCGGGAGGAATCACGCCGGCGAGCTCGTTGGTGCTGAGGCTGAGATTCTCCAGCAGAGGAAGGCGGAACAGCCGGTGAGGAACCGGCCCCTGAAGGTTGTTGATGGAGAGATCGAGCCTTTTGAGCCGATCCAGTCCGGCCAAGGCGTCGGAGATGAAGCCTCTCAGGCTTCTGTTGCGAAGAACCAATCCGACCACTCTTCTGCCAGTGATCGCCGGAGGGCCGCAGACGACGCCGAGCCAATCGCAGCAACTTGAGGAAGAGTCGTTGACGTTCCACCCAGGGGGAGAAGACTTCAAGCCGTCGGCGAAGCCCCGCAACGCATCCAAGTCGCCGGAGTGGCAGCTCTGATTCTGAGAACAAGCGAGTCGAGCTCCGAGCAGGCAGAACAGGAGAAAGCAGCAAGCGTGCGTGGAGATCGATGCCCAGAAGCCTCCCCTGCTTTCCATCGAAGTCAACGTTTTCATGCAGGAGAACAAATTAAATCGATAAATAATGGTCTTTTCTGGCTAAAAATCCATCTTTTGCAGCACCATTGAGGATTCTCGGTAGATTCTTGCTTGATTCAGACTAGTTTAGATTCTCACGAAAAGAAGTCAACGCGCATCAAGAGAAGAAACAGAGAAGGAAGAAGAAGAAGAAGAAGAAGAAGAAGAAGAAGAAGAAGAAGAAGAAGAAGGAAGAGGAGAAGATGACGATGAAGCAGAACACTATCTTTCCATTACAGTGGAACAGAAGAAGAAGAAGATCCAAAGAAATGGAAAGAGCTGGGGTTTGACTCTGCTCTGTTCTCAACACTCTCAACAAGCTATATCAATCGAATTCATCTATCATTAGCCAATTACGTATCAAAATTCCATTTTTTTCCAAGATTTATGCATTGGAGGTCGTTTTCTTGAGCACTGGGAGATGGTCAGAGACAAATTTGATGGAGCATTTGGCTAGAGAGGACAGGAGAGATGGGAAAGAAAGCAGTTGACTGGCTGTGCAAGAAAAGAGTGGGTGGTGTGGGTATGAAGTCAAAGGTCACAAGAGACACATCACCTCCATTAAACAACATCTCAATCAAGATTAAAGAAAGCAAGAGTTAACTAAGAAGTCAATGTTTCACCAAAACCTTCTGTTCTGTAAGTTCAAGTGCATATTTTATGTATGAAAACAATTCCAAGTTTATCTTAGCTAGCTTTCCAAGGTGATTTCTTTGAGCTCAAGTTGACTCTTTTCTCCTCTTGATTCAGTTCTTATTGGTTGACATTGTTAGGTCACACCCTTTGAAGAAAGACTATGGGCTATGGAGCTCAACAAAAGACAAGCTTTACCAACCACTTTGTTTGTTCTTAATAGCAATCCAGGAAAGGGAGTTTAGAATCAAGAATTCACACTAGTTATGCAGTTTAAAATTTTTAGTAAAAATAGAAAATTATACTAATTGAATTTATAACGACAGACCTTCATGTAATAGTAAAATTAATACTTCACGTTCTTGAAGACTTAAGTTTCGAGTCCCTAACAACCGCTCTAATTATAGAGGTAAGCATGTATTAATCCTCTCCGAAACCCATATTGGATGGAACTCCATATATTACATTTATCTTTTTATCCAGATATTATATTTATCTTTTTATCGTAATTTGGTTTAACATGATGGTAATCTAAATCATATTTTGTGATGTGCAGTAATTTTGGATTAGATTATTAGTGGGTTAGACATCAAAAAGCAGCTTATCAATCACCCCAAGTTTAGCAGCTTCCAAATCTCTCTTTTCAAGCATGCTTGGAGGACAGAACTCAGTTATCAGAGCCATTTGATTTGAGAAGTATTATAAGATCATTCACAAACCTCCCTTTATACTTGAAAAATTCTTTACAAATCTATTGACTAAGTAGATGCAGGCAATAGGAGTTCATCACCTCCACTACCAAACAGTCTTCACCCACCATCCATTGTGGATATGTCATGAATGTCTGCAGTTAGAGTAGACACAACAGTTCCTGAAGAATCTAATATTTTAACATAGCTGAAGATACTATTGACCAGGTAAAATGCTCATCAAATCAATTTTATTGAGAATAACCTATAAGAACTTTTACATTTTCATGCTCTGTTTACTGATTCAAGTATGAAACCAAAGTTGGGCTTGGCATTTAGGGAAAAAGTCTAGATTCATGCTATATGTTTCTGACTTCAAAAAATGTCAGATGTTGGTACAGATTTCCAATGACATGTGGAGCTGACTAACTTCTTGCAGAAGATGGAGGAAGGAAATTGCAAAAAACTCAATTGATTAGATGTGGTTTATAGAAATGCAGATACAACTAACTCATTCTCAATCTACATGAGTGCATCTGTATCTACTAAACTTAGCAGAATGTGAATTATCCATACATAGATTAATGTAATTTTATCTTAGAATAATTGAATAAATGGATTTTGTTGGATAATAGTTCAAACCACAGCTCATTAGTTATGGCAATAGGAACTCAGAACAAAGCCTCTCCTTCCCTACTGTGACTTCAAAAAATGATCTTGATCTAGTCAAAACTTGGACAGTAGTTGGGCGCAGGATCCTTCTCCAAAGCATTTTTCTGCCCCAAATACAAATTTTACAGTTGGAAACATGCTTAAAGGTACTACCAAATGCAAAGATTAATACAAGACCAGTGTGAAATTTTTCATTGCTAAAAGATACAAGTGTTACAGTTCTACTATCTTCTTCAAGTTGTTTTCAGGAACTTAAGCACCTTTCTTGTCCATATTTTCCCAGATAAACAATTTGGAAGCATGTATTCAGTAACAATTAGTCCCAATACCTCAAGCTTTGAGTTCTTACAATTTCCAATCTTTGATTTTAATCTCAGAATAACTTCTGGTCTCAAGGACAACTAGCTTAAAGTACTTCGAACAAAATCCAACTAAAGGTAATGACTTGCAATCAAAGATATGCTCTTGTAATCAGATGTTTTGGCACCAAAAGTGGAGTTTAAGTTATATGTTTGTGATGACAGAAAGCAGCTCCCACTTGTTCCACATCATGTGGCCATGGAATTTGAAGGACCCCACTGCTACAGTGAAGAAAATGGTCCAAAAGAAGAAAGTTACTTTTGATAGTGTGTTCCTGTTGAAGTTATCACTATGGATGATTGAAACAATAACAAAAAGAAAAAGAGGGGAAAAAAAGGGAAAAGGAAAGATGCCACTTCAAATTGTCTACCAGATTGTGGGTCCTCCTGGATGTGGAAAATCTATTTGGGTATAGCTATGGGACCCAAAAAATTCCATCATGTACTCCCATCATAAATTCTTGAACATCACAAATAACAACACTATTACAAGTTCTTATTATTATTAGAGTTCCTTACAACTTGTGTCTCTTAGTACATTTCCTCGTGTTCTCACAGGATGCATCAAGATGAAAGATTGGAGGCTGTGAAAAGCACCATTTCTTTACAGACCTTCTTGTGTAAATGCATTGCATGAAGAGAATAGTGTGATTTGATGGAGAACCAAAGGGCATTCATTAAACATCATATTACATACATATAAAAATATATAGATATTTATTTGGTCCTCATGGTATCTTTGTGATACAGAAAAGACCAGGCACATAAGCTTTGCACAAACTAGTTTCTCATGTCTCAGTCCCTTTACCATCTGACTGTGCCTTTGGGACCATAAATGCATCAGGTTGACCTGAAACTACAGAAGTATCAATGAGAATGACTCCATCTTTGAGATTCTTGAGACTTTACTCAAAGTGTGATGCTGCTTCCATTGGAAGCCTTCACTATGCTCATTGGATCTACCAGTGCACACCACAAGTTGCAGAATATGATGTATTTTTTAATGTTTACTCTTTGGACCTGAGTATTCAATCAATAACTGTAAGTTATACATGTCAAAATAAAATCCTTCTTAAGAGTCCATCAGCAGTTTGATCCCCTTTTCTTAACACATTCTTATTTTGGATAGACCATTTAGCAATTTAAAGTCAAGTGCAGAGCTTGGAGCTGAATTACATGCAAATATAGCATGATCATGCAAAGTGGCACTTCTTATTTAAATTGATGATCTGTCTTCCAACTTGATTATGTTTCAAACATCACACTAGTATGGAGTTTCAAGCATCTCTTCTGGATACTGATGCCAATTACATTCATATACATATAGTAATCAGATACTCATATTACTGTCAAAAAAATCAATCTAAAACAAGTGTTTTAGGTTCTTTCTTGGATCCACCCAGATCACTGCAACCTAATAGAACTGAAACCAGTGGCCACAGTAGATTTGCCATAGAGAGATATGATGATGTCTTTCCTTGATTCAGCAGGAAGATTTCAAATGGATTGTGGTGGCTTAGTAAGATGTCAACCCAGCCAAAGCCAATCTATTTAAAGATTAGTTGACTGGATATGGCCTGGAAAGAATGCAATAGGATTGATAATTGTAAAAGTTGAGTCTTTAGTTGCTTGACAAAGCAAATATTGCTGATAAAGGAACCTACAAAGAGCTTTCTAAATGCACATCATAAGTGTTTAGTGGATCTATATGTTACTTAAAAATGGATCTTGTAACAAGGGATCTCAGTCACAGGTGTTGGTCTGCCATTGAACTGACTTAATCATGAAATTAGATCATAAAGTGTTAGAGAATAGTTAAGTGCTCTTGTGATGGTTGACATGCATGCTTCAACTATTTGCTGTAATGTCAATCTATTGAGCTAATAGAACATAGTTCTTAGATCATACTGACTGCATGTACTGTGCTACTGTAACTTCAAGATTCACTCATGAACACTAAGACACCAGCTACAGATTCACTTCTGTTGCAGTTTAGGCTAGTCATTTCTAAAATTGCTTAAGAAACTATTGTTTTGCAGTTCATCAAGAAAGAAACAGCAACACAACCCAACTAAAATGAAGAAAAAACAAATGAAATAAACTTGAAGTCAGAGAAGAGGAAACATGAAAGAAAAACATATACCATCATTTACTTGGACTAAAGCATTTCCGATCAATAGTTCTTAGGTCAATTATCTTATCGGGCTAAGTCATTACAAATAATATTAGAATCGATGCAGTATTAAGCTTGAGTGGCTCAAATAGAAAAACACTACTCGTAGATGTGGTCATAAGACATAAGTATCATTGATCTGAACTTTATATGCATTATATTTGGATTTGATTTTGAAATTAATGACTACCATTAGATTGGATTAAGTATTTTGAGTCATTGATTTAAAATCAATAACTACGATCCTATAACGCATAGAATATTATTTATAGGTATAAAAGGATTTCTTTTAGTAAATATGACCAAGGATTTTCAAATAAGATGTCACTACTACAAATACACTATGTATTATGGCATGGCCTCCTATTATTTTACCAACACTTTACATTCAATAACATAATCTTTTTATTATCAAGAATCTCAATTTATATTTTAAATCAATGATTCTGACTCAACTTGATCAAAAAATTATCTAGTCGGATCAAGACACTTAATTTTTTGCACTAATTCTTTTATATTTGAATAAGTAGTATGCAAAAGTTCTTGAAGAAATTTCAAACACTCAATTTTTGGACACCTCTTTTAAAATAATATTTTAGATATATTCTTAATCTTTAATAAGTAGTAAAATATAAATTATTTATCTAGCAAGTATTTATTAAAATATGCTCATTCTAACTCATCTTATCTTTTACATGTTTTTAAATGATCATAAGAGGTTTCAGGAAGATTAACCCTTTACAGACGGATACGTAAAGGCACCGTACTACCTAATTAAAACTAATTAAGTCTGTTATAAAATAATATTTTATAAGATAATTATTATGTGAGGCATACCATATAAAACTAAGCACTGGGTAATTAAAAAATATGTCTAAAAAATTGTTCACATGAATGTGTATATTTATTGTAAATAATTTTATGTTAGGACAATTACAAGTACATCCAACAAGTATAAAATAAAAGGTTTTATAATGGTATGCATATTTCTAAGGAACCCTAAATATACTATTATTTAAATGTAAAAATAATTAAAATTTGTAATACAAGGAGATGTTGGGAGAGATATAAGAAGATT